ATATGTCTGGCCCATCAGGCATGCGGACCGGAGAACCCAAGGCAGCTGCTGGCCCGGTGCCGGCGCCGGCGCCTGCACCTGGGCATCTGCCTCGCTCAACCTCAGACTCCACTGCCCTCACCGGGACGGCACCGATGCCAGCTACCCATGCAACGCGCCCCACTACCGGTGGCTCCATGGCCTCGTTCAACGCCGGTCGTTTGCCATCACGAGGATCTTATGGACAGCCGGTTGCACCGACTGTGGCCGCCACGAACGCCCAGGGTCGGCTCGCCCAGCCGAAGAGCAAGCAATATGTCATCTCCGCTCCGATGCCGCAAGATTCGTCGCAACAGTCCATCGGCCAACCCAGTACCCAGCAACTCCCGGCCAAGTTCAACACAACCCCCCGACAGGAACCCCCAAAGGGTCACAAGAGATCCAACACAGTATCCAGCATCGGCGAGAAGCTGTTTGGACGGTCTGGTTCGATCTTTGGAGGACGGGGAGGGCAGGGTAGCGGTCCTCGGCAAAAGAATGGCAAACGTTACCCTCCTACGAGCATGAAGGATCCCTATGGCGGAGACGACACTCGGATGTCTGTGGATTCACGACGGTCCATCCAGTACGGATATAACCGCAAGACCAGCGAGGCTGGCGTGGAGGGCAGGCCTCGGAGGTTCTCCTTCCTACCGCCATCGTTCTCGCTGAAGGGGTTCTCTTCCAGCCGATCACAGACCCCCGATGAAGAGTCGCAAGCAGATCGCTCTACCGAAAACCGCGTGGAACCGCGCCCGTCGACCAGCGCAATGCAGGCGCGTGCGCGCGCTGCTAGCTATGGGACACAGGATGCGATCAACATGGCGCCCGAGGGTGCTCCGGGGGAGGAGATTCTGACCCAAGAGGAGCCGGTTAACTACCAGGCCCGGATCGACCAACAATTTGCTGTTCTTCATTCAAACCAGTCCGGCCAGTCGGGCATCTACCAACCGACGTCTTACAGCGCGACCTCAGCCGAACAAGTGTACCCGAGTGACAACGATCATTATTACCGGAACCAGTACGCCAACCACTCGGCGCCCAACTACTACGAGGATTACACTGGTCCGTACGACAAGGCGCCGCGGCCGTCGATGCAGGGTGGCCGACCTGCGCGAGGGGGCGTGTTGCCTAAGAATCACCGCAAGTTCGCCGACGCCTACGAGTACGAGCGGGACCTGGCACACCGTCCCGGCAGCTCTGGGGCAGCCCGCAAAGTGATGGATTTCTTCCGTCGACGCGCCAAGTCGAGAGCCGGCGACGACCGGTAGGTTGGCTTACGGCTGGACCTACTATCATGTTAATTTCGACCACTGCACTCGACCCGTTAGGCTCTGGCCGGTCGGGGCGAGTTGGTTACTGCGGTAGAACAACCAAGAACGACAGGCAGTTCTAATCTAATAACCTGCTTGCGATTCGGGATTGAGTATGGCGAGTTCCAAGGAGGCTGCAGCACTCTGATAATACCGCCACCCCCTTCGAGGCAAAGAGACAGGTTCGCCAGCGTGATCGTCTCGACTTGAGCCCCCGGTGGAGGTGGCATTCGACTAGCTCTTGGATTCAGCATGGAAAGAGCAGAATGGTTAATTGGATACCCCGTGATACCCACGCAGACTTCGTCCTGTTGCTTGCAGCTCTCGATTCCTCGCATTGTACCAGCAACTGTTGCGCGCATACATATCCCTATCTCGCATGTTTTTGATTTCTTGTTCCCCATAAGCCTTATTTCCTTTGTTCAAATTTTCGTTTTCTTCCCTGTCACTATAGTACTGATTGTAAATTGATTTGTTTCCTCCCCCCCTACTTTTTCTTCTCGGACGTGGTGTCGTTGGTGCTGCGGCTATTTACTTTCCTACTCAGGATTATTTGTGGTTAATCTAATAGTTATTGATCGATTGCCTGGTGGATGTTGTATGATCCAGAGCATAGCGTGATTCATTAGCATGTCATTTTCCTGCTCCAGTGGATATTGTATGCCCGCGGGCTATCTATAGTATAGTGAGATCAAGATCATCTGATGAGGCTTACATCCCTGCTAGCGTATGCTCTGTGCTTAGTTCCACTCGTCAAAAAACTTGCATATACTAATATCCATCAATCTATCTTTAGCTCCAACCATCAGCTACCTTTAGTTCCGGCTGCATGAATATTATGGGGGCCGTTGGACTATCTTTCCAACCCCGGGTGAAACCTGAACCATAGATAGTGGCCGTGGCTTAGATGGATCCTTGTCAGGTCTAAAATAGATCCCACGCACTGTCTCCATCCATGTGGAGATCACAGTCACAGCCTCAACTCAATTCTCAGCTGATCTGTGCTCGTGTTGGGATTCGTTGGAACTAGATAAGTAGTGGGAGCTGAGGTGGAACAGCGGTAAGGCTGATTGCTTATCTACCTCCTTGTCGGTCAGCTGCGGGAGATATATACTCCAGCTTATTCTCGGGGTGTGTGCTTACGAAGTGTGGAATATGAGGATGAACGGATGAAGCTGAAGCTGTGTTTGTTGTATACATGCGTGCATGCAGTATAAGTTGGAATGCCTTCCGGTCCGGGTGTCAGCCAGTCAGCCTTGCGGTTGGTTATCTCTACATCTTCCTTCCTTACCCACTACCTAGGTAGGTATCTACTCGGTAGCAGAATCGATATTATCTATTCCCAAGACACGGGATTAAATGTTAAGTAGCAAAAAGCAACCCCACCAACTAAAAATCAATTGCACATAACTAAACCTACCTAGTAGTAGTGGTAGTGGATTAAGAAAATCACAAAAAGTTATGACAAGAGTGGGATTCGAACCCACGCCATCAAACGATGATCAGGAAGCTGTAAAGCTGAATATTAAGGTGGACCTTAACCTGACGCCTTGGACCAACTCGGCCATCTTGCCTTGATTGATGGAGATAGCTTTTTTTTTGTATTATAAACGGGTACCAAGGGTAAGGTAGATAATATACGTAGTCTTGCCTTGTTTATCCGTCGGTGTGGAAGCTGGAATTGATAGATAGATGGCTCTAGACTGTGTTGGGCTGGGTTGCGTGATGGCGCTAGTTTCATAACTAGGTCCGCTTTTCTCTGACTCTGCGCTTATGGGGTGTCAGGTAGGTAGGTACCTAGGTGGTGGTGGTCGGGGGAAGGGAAGCTAAGTAGGGGTTGGGTTGTGGTCGTGGTGGTGATGGTGAGGATATATTCACAGCGTAAGTATGTTCGCTTTCACCATGGCATATTCCCTGGTATAGCGCTTTCTTATATACTATCAAGAGTTCCAATGCTACTAGTTATCACATCTAGATGTAATATGATATCAATCGAGTATTATCACACAGCTACCTACCCTCTATACTCATACTCTCCATTCATTCCTCATGGGGACATTCTCCAAAAATGCAACTGGCTGGTATAGCACTAAAATCCAGCAAAACAACATCTCAAGGCAAGATGGCCGAGTTGGTCCAAGGCGTCAGGTTAAGGTCCACCTTAATGATTCAGCTTCACAGCTTCCTGATCATCGTTTGATGGCGTGGGTTCGAATCCCACTCTTGTCAGTTTCTTTTTTGTATTTTTTTTTTCCTCCTGAGGGGACGGGTGTCTATACAATCATACTTCATGGCTAGAGCTACATGATAAATAGTCACGGATAATGAACTGAAGTACAAGCAAATAAACAAACCAACAAACCTAAGCACACATAGCGCAAGTAACTTTCCAAGTAAGTAAGTAAGCAAGCATAAGCCCCCTTTCCCCCCTCCCCCCCACCAGACCCCTCCCTCCCTAGCAAGCTTCCCTCCCCTCCCCCAAAGCCCAGCTCAGCTCAGCTCCGTAATCAAAAAAGAACCAGCACGGTCCTCACCGACCGACCGGAAATTTCCCACGCCCCGAATAATCCATCAATCATCCATTATCTATCTAGGTGATAGGTAGGCAAGATAGTCTAGGCAAAGTCCAGACCAAGATCATCTGCACCCTCGACACGCAATTCCGAACCAATTCGAATAACCCAAAAAGCAATTCGGACGAAAGGGATGTAATATACCCCGGGGGGGCCAGACATGTATGTATGTAAGTATTATGTATGTATCATGGACAAGCCAAGTCCGGACCGGTGTGCAGGGTTGCATGCATTTGCATCTGGACTGCTGCCCTGTGTAGTGGATTGTGATTGGGGGGAGACTGGGGATAGCTGCATTAGGGATGAGATAGGTATTATGTAGCTAGTGGGTTAGTACTGTAGATACGATGTACCTAGGTGACTCGGTTGTTCGGTTGTTCGGTTAGAAGGGGATATTTGTGGTAATAAGGGATTACTTACCTATTATTGTATGGGGTTTATTGTTGTTGTTATAGTGTATAATGGGGTTTGTTATATGCTGCTGATGCTGTGGAATTGTGTTTGTTGGGTTGAGTTTGGGCATTGAGTACAGTAATCATAGGACTCATATTGATTTATCGGGGACAGTATACTCCGTGTAGGTTTATTATCTAGAGGGGGGAGAGAGAGAGAGAGAGAGAGAGAGTGGAAGAGGCAAGACAACTGGAGTTGGGCTGAAAGGCACGTTTGCATTACGTTAGACAGTGGATGTATCTCATCATCTGTCACTTTCTTTCTCACCGGGGCAGATCTGAGATCCCCCCCTTATCGGTCCCTTTTACTCCGGACTCCGTCCTCGTACTTTAATTAATCGGCACAACGCGACGCCCTGCTTATCAACCTCCATTACGGAGTACCTACTAGGCAGCTACTTGGCAGCTCAAATGGTCGATCGGCAGAATCTATCATTGCTTGGCAGTGGAACAGGACTGCAGTCTATCTGATGGCATAATGCTTGGCACATATCAACTGCCCTTGGCAAACATTCATATTGTCTAGGCAGCGGCAAGGAGGAGGTATCGTCGTGATGGTCAAGAAGCTATCGACAGGAGTATGACTTGGCATACGAAAGATAAAAGCAAAACAACCAAAAAAAAAGAAAAGAAAACACCGGGCCCCGCACTTCGTCCCTCCGAGTGGTCGCTCGTCCAATAATGTCAAATATTCATAATGAGAATTGTAGTGATCTTCCTGCAGCCGGCGGGGTCAGACTTTAGTCCCGGAGGCGATGAGGTGAGAGCTAAGGAAATCGTGGCCAGCGCGATTCGTCGGATGGGTTCGTGGGCGAACTTAGACGCTGGGCGTCGTGTTGTTGCGAGTGTCAACGCCCAGGTAGAGGAAGCCACTGGGCAGGCGACTGAGACCGGGACGCTGCTGCGATCCGCTGCTCGTGGAGGACTGGCTGCTGGAACGCTCACGGCCTTGAGTTGCGGTGGCAGGGCCTGACTCGGTAGGGGCCAGAACGAGGAACTTGGAGGTGGCAGTGTAGGTGTACATGGTGATGGTGTTGACGGGAGGTAACGGTAGAGTAGAGATGGAGAGATGGAGAGATGGTAGAGTTTTGGATTTAATTTGAGCTTTTGAAAGGTTTGCTTGAGAGATTTTCTTGAGAGATTGAGTTGGAAGAAGATGAAATCTCGTGGGCAAGTCGGCCAGCTTTATAGCTGAGAACTCAGCCAAGCCATTATCGCAAAGAGGGGTTGACCGGGGATGATGACGATCAATCAAACTACCGATTCTAGCCCACCACGACCTGCAGAAGCAGATAAGTGGAGGGACCAGCAGAGGCCTGCCAATTCCTCATACCCGACGGTGGACCGGCCAGCTGTAATTCACATGCCGGCGAAACCGACCCTCACACAAGAGGGGCGGAGAACGTCATCCATGCAAATCCCCCTTCCTTTGCATCGCTTGGCTCTGGCAATAGTCATACCCGAGCAGGCGCGCGGCCAGGATCTGGTTGGACCAGCTGCGCCTGGGGTCCCAGCACAAGCATCTGGGCCGCCGAAACCAGCCTCGGATGATCAGCGACCAAGAGCAGAGCCAAGCCCACTATTGATTGAGAGTGAACCGTCCCGTGACGAGAGCTGAGGAACGTGGGTTGAGAGAGACGCGATAAGAGGCGACAAGAGGCGACGACGTCAGGAACGAGGCCCATTCTTGGGGTTTTGCCAAGTCGCCGCATTCTTCGTCTGATGCCCACATGACCCCCCGCGCTTCTTATTTGTCTGCTTGGCAATGCTGCTGTTGCTGCAGTCGCCCACGGAGATCTCCTTCTAGAACCTGGGCCGTGGCGAGATCCTGTCTGAATGAAGAGGCCACACCCCCTTACTTGGTAGAAGCCAAGGAACCCGCTAGAACCAGCATTGGTCGGGGTGGACAATTGAGTAGGTAGGACTCCGTAAGTCAGTCCGTCCTGTCGGAAGTCTGAAGCTTAAGGACGACCACTGTTGGGACTGGGGACTTCCGACGGGCGGAGATCATCGTTGGAGGGTTTCTCCCATGGTTGACAGAGGAATGGTTCAGAATGACGGGAGACAACCTGACTTGCCCAGCAGGCCCTCTCGACAGTAGATGAAGGGTTGACAGCGAGGCGGGGGAGGGAGAAGTAGTACCTATTGGAATCTTGCACGAGAGAAGCACGCGGCTCAACCTCCCTGGGTCACGTGGCCAACCCTCACTGCGAGGTGAATCCTCCAGAATCCCCCAAGATTCAACCACAGCAACTCATAAGCAGAGCCCCCCTCAGGAACCGTCCCCAGCCAGGAACCGGCGCCGTTCAAGCCCGGGAGCCAACGGCGGCTAAAAGAAGGCCGTGCCCAGTGGGCAAACCTGTTGACCGTCGCCGTTTTAGCGCCCCGGGGCCCTGCGCCGTATCGCTTGGAGTGGCACGGCCACTGAGCGGCTGAAAGGCACAGTGAAACATGCAGATGTCTGTGCCAGCTTCGCATCCCATCGTTGCTGTCTCAGCCCGACGTTTCCCATTCAGCCTACCGGCTGGCGGTGATCACGGAGAATCGATAGGTGGAAACCACCTGGCCCTGCACTGCCGAACCACTAAGTTAGCCTTGACTCTCGTGAACCTGGCTCAATATCTCTCACCAACACCAGTCCCAGCGCCGTGGAGACGGACCACGGGGCGCCTTTGCGGTCGTCGCATACCTTCTGGCCCCCGTGCGATTCCCAACAAAGGGAAGAAAAGAGGAGACTGTCAGGCTCCCCGTTCAGGCTTTATTTTCAATCACTGATATCACCAACTGCGTCTAAGTCCTGGCGTTCATACATTGGTCACTGCAAAGCACTGACCCAACGGTCTGTGACGGCGCAGCAGTTCTTGCATGTTCATCGCTTTAGCTTCCGCATGTCGGGCCCGGGCTCTGACACACCTTGTTGATCCCAGCGACCCGCAACATGTTGATGTTGACGTTGACGTGGGACAGAACGCATGCCCAGGACCTGCGCCGACCCCTGACAGGAGCAGGTGGCTCATCGATCAACTAATCCCGCGCTGTGCTCTCGGACCAAACAGCGCCCAGGTGCCAGACGGTCAGACCAGCTGGTGGGGGGGAGGAAGTTCCCCCGAACTCTGATACTATCGGCGCGATCATATTGGACTGTGGTGGCCATGCCATCCTGGGTTTCCCCACCCCCATTTCACCGGCGTCAAGGACACATGATAGACGCCAGTCTAGGTCTGCGGATGGGCGAACCTGGTCGTCTGCGGACTGGCATTCGTCAGCTGGACCGTCCGGGTCTCATTCTGGGCTGCGGCATGACCTCCAGCAGTTGAAGCACTGTTGGTCGGGGGGCGGGAACTGATTTGATAATTTGATTGTTGGGCTTGGGCCTGCATATGTGACGGGCCTTTCCCGGCGACAGGAATGGCGTAGATGTGAAGATGATGTCAACCTTCGCATGATGATGCCGGCGCGGAAGTCTAATGCGACGCTTGTTCACTCTCCAGACGAGAGCTGATATCGATTTCGGCCGATGCATGACCCTGCTAGTCCGATACTCGTCCATTTACCTGTCTGGGAAAAGATGCCTTTCCAGGCTGATGGCGAGGAGATATCCGGCTCTCTGATTCGCATACCGGCCAGTCTGCTGGAGGAGGGCCGATTGAGTCATTTGTTGGCATGATATTATCTAGAAAATCCTGGAGGGTGATCCAAATGTGATGTAGATCGAATCACCAACTGTTCAGCAGTCATGACAGTCTCATATTGGTCCTGGTTCGATGAAGGAGGGCTGCGCCAGATAACCGGAGACGCAACGAGTGGAAAGCAAGAAGGGGGAAAATTGTATTGTCGAACCTTGTTCTGACAGTCGTCTATCCATCTGCTTCTCCAAATGTGACATCCATCACCTTCACCACCTTCACCACCTTCACCACCACCACAACAATGAATATTATTTTTTTTTCTGCCCCTCAATAAATTTCTTAAAAAATCCAATTTTTTAATTGCAATTGGTCCGGGTTGAGTCACTCGCCGGCCTTGTCCCCATGAGATGAGCAATTGGCGTAGACGGCGTTGTTGCGGCACAGTCAGTCAACCGCAGTCACTCTCTCACTTTATCACCACCACCACAACTTCTGCTGCCTGCCAACGACAACGAAAAGTTCCATTCGCAATTATTTAAACCAGAGCTGTTCCCCCTCCATCGATATCCAGAACAACAACAACAGCAACAGCAGCTTCCAAGCCAGCCAAAGCAACTCAATCTCAGTTCACTCAGCTCAGCTCTCACTTCTCTCTCACACACACACCACACACACACCCACACAAATCTCTCTCTCTCTATTTCTCTGGTCCAGCTTTTCCTCTAACCAATTCAACTCAACTCAACTCAACCAATTTCTTCCTCCCTCCCACCCCACACACAAACCAAACCCAAACCGAAACCAACTCACACACACACACCTCTCCTCACGATGTGCTCCCAGTACTTCTACCAGTACGACTGCGGCTGCATCGTCCCCGAAGGCGATGTCGTCTTCTGCGCCAAGCGAGGAACCTCCTCCTGCACCGGCGTCAGACAGCAGATCCGTCGTCGCGAGGGCTACAACTGCCCTAGCCACGGTGGCTAGATCCGCTTCATCGTTCACGGGAGGAAGAAGGGAAAGGGAATGGGAAAGGAAGAGGGCCCATAGCTTTTGCTTAGTGAGTTGCCGAAGAGATCCACATCGAATCTACACTACAAACCCCTTCCCAGGCCCGGCCCAGATCATCGCGGATGAAGGATAGGATCTAACTGTTTCTGGTCAGGGGTGTGCTGCGAGTGTCCACCTATCTGGCTGTCTGTCTGTGACCATGTCTGTCTATCTGGGTTGTTGCCTGCCTGGTTGGGGTTGGTGGTTACCTAGATAGATGATGGGTGGTGAGATGGAGCAAGCAGATCCAGGCAAGCTGTGGTTGTGGTGTGCCTGATGAAGAGTCTTGTTTAGCACGGACAATGGGGGTGGATGGATAGGATGGAGAGGTGATTTCCTTTGTTTGGGTCGAGGATGGAGGCTGGAGATTAATCAGGCTGGAAAATTTTCGAAAATCGATAGAAAAAAAAGGGAACAGTATCTGGGAGGAAAGGTGGAGGTGGAGGATTGCATGTGATTGGGAAGGGTCTGTCTGCTTGTCTGTTTGTGTTTCTGTTACCATCACCATCATTGTTTGTGTTGTTGCTGTTTGTTTCTGTCATTGTTGTTGTTACTGCTGCTGTTTCGGTTCCCCATATGCATCGTTTGCGTCCCGTCCCGTCATTTCATTTCATCACGCTAGATTGATTTTCGAAGGCACAAGTCGGCAGAAGTTCCTTTCTTTCTTCTACAATTATTATTTCGGTGGCATCTGTCTGTTGTTTTGTTTTTGATTGCTGTCGCTCTTTGTGGTTTTTGATTTGCTGTGCTTTGCTTTGTGTTTGTGTTTGTGTTTGTACTAAGTAGTTAGCATATGCAATGGTTATTCTATTGACGTTGATTTTTTCCCTTTTTACGGATTTATATACTTACGTAGCATGACGAGATTATCATCAGATGATATCTAGCTGTCTTTCATCTAAAATGGTGATGATGATGATATTATGTGGATACTGCTGGTGCCACATATCCTATCTATCTATGGGGCATTCCCCATCATACGGTTTGATTCCTCCCATCCTCCCATGTGAAGCATGAAGCTTGTGAAAAACACTCGCAGAATCAATCTAGGGACAGGGAGCCTGCGCGAGTCTGCGAGAGCGAGGCACTGCTCGTAGCAAATGCTGGAAGGCCAATTAAACAACTAGTCGCTCATGACAGACCCATCCGGATCATCGAACCATGGTTGACGGCGCTTAGGGTGTCACAAATCCACCACCACCCTGTCTTTGTCGCCCATTCCTCGTGAACTGAGTCAGGAGGATGGGGGAATCCCCACATCGATGGGAATTTTGCCGCGCTGTCCACATCACTGGAGACTTGTCGGCATTTTTTCGGACCCAATTTGAATAGTTGAGATGGATGAACTGCTGTTGCGGTTGGTAGAATCGCCCTTCTGTCTTCATTTTTTAATTACGATTTTGTTCCATCGAAGCCTGGGGGAGTGTGTGTGGAATGAAGTTGGTTTCAATGAGTCATGGTCTAACTCCTGTGAAAATTCTCCTCAGCCTGATTAGCACCGTACATCAGCGGCTGCATTAGCACCGCATACAACTTTTATCACCTGATGTCCAACCGGCAAATCAGACACAGAAGACGGGGCACAGACGCGAGTTGGCCGGTGGCAAGAGATGCTGACTGGTGCCAACAACTCTTGCAGGCGGAGGGGTGGTGTCTGAGCCAGTCAGAGGAGGAGCCTCCGCGCGTATATCGGGGGGTAAAAAGCCGGTGCAACTAGGGCCTACCAGCCGCTAGATTGCGCCGATGTGCCCAACGACCGAACATCATGGGAATGTTACTGCAATGTAGCTGTGCCTCCTTTCTCTGGCTGCATCGGAGTGGAGATGGAGTGGAAAATGGCAGCAATAAGGGCAGAGTGTACGGATGCGGCAGCAATGTGCCGACCATCTGAAGATGCAGCGTGGCGCCCTGATGTGTTATCGGCTGCTCTGATTTTGAGAGGGCGCGGAAATCCGGCGCGAGGATCGGCCTGGGGGTAGGTAATAAACCAGTTGTTGAACCTGGTCAGGCTCAAGACACTAGGCAGATACCGAGGGTAAAAGTTTAAAAGTTACAGGAGGGGATGATTAACAAGCCAGGTTCACCAGTTCATCTCCTTTCATGGAGGCCAATAGTAGATGGTGCTAGATTCGCCAGTGTTGGGTCCCAGATAGCCTAGCTCCGTCGTGATCGAATGGATGGGAGCCGATGGAGAGCACCTGCTGGTCATGGAATTATGGCACGGCAGTCCCAGGACAACCCCTGGAGCAGTAGGCCTGCGCAGCCGATGTACACCGCTTGGGTAATGCTCAGAACAGCGCCGCAGAGCTGTGCCATCGCCCTTAGACCGGCGATGGGCGGGAGGGACTGGGGTACCAGAATGCTGGGACAGTAAACCTAAAGCGGTGTGAGCACCGTCTGCGCCGGTAAATCCAACCAAAAGTGGTGCCAGGAGCAAACATAGGTCACCAAGATGTCACCTTCCCTCTCTAACCACTGGATAGTTCAATTGTGACTGTTGAAGCCGATGAAAGGCATTGTGGCCGCGTCGGATGGTCGTTGGCGATGGACGGCGCTCACGGGATCCCCGGTTCACGTGACCGCCACGGGCTGCGAGATCCGCCGAAGCGCGACAAAAACAAGCGCCAACTCCGACTCCGACTCTCGACGTCACCGACCATGGTTGGAAGCTAATCGACCTCTCTTTTGTTTTCCGGGGTTCTAGACCATTTCTCGAACCTTTCCTCTTCCCTTGCAACTCCCCCGGACAGCAGCCGTCTTGCACATGTAATGTCCATTGAAGTTGACTGGGGCGCCGCGACCTCCGGTCCGGACGGGGAGGCTCTGGCCGAGCGCATCCGTTCCTTTATCCATGACAAGTTCCAGCAGGTCGCTCTGCCACGCTTTATCCGCTCCGTACAAGTCCACTCTTTCGACTTTGGGACCATTCCGCCCGAGCTCGAGATCAAAGACCTTTGCGAGCCGTTCGCCGACTTCTATGAGGAGGATGAAGACGACGATGAAGCGTCCGACATATCCGAGGGGCTTGTCTCTGGACATGGTGCGCAATGGCATGGTTCTCATTCAGAGCTCGACGAGTCTCCTTTCCGCGACGAGAATGCGATGCATCAACCTCTGCGTGACCCGTTCACCGAAGGCTTTCAACCCTCGGCCTTGCGGTCTCCGATAGCTTTTGGCGACCATCTCAACCCGCATTTCCTTCCCCGTGCCGGTACTCCTGGTATACCCGGAGGCACATCGACTCTCGGATACCATCTGATGTCCCTTGGTGGGCTTTCTGGGACACAGACCCCCCTCGCTGCAGTTGCAGGTGGATCACCGTTTGCGAGTGGATGGAACGACTCCGGGATGATGGGCCCTGGGAATAGGGGATGTCCACCTCCTCCAATCTTCAATGCACATCAATCGCGACCGGAAGCCGACATCGACAGCAGCAATCCGACCTCGCGCCCGTCCACATCTAGTACGCTACCTTCTCATCCGTCCGGGTCCAACAAGAACACTGGTGATGGAGCAGGCAGTGCCGACCATGGATCACACCCGGAGGAGCATGGACATATGGATGACCCTTCGGAGGAACCTCTTCGGTTTCCTCGGATGAGGGAGCGCAGGCCCGAGGACTTTCAGGTTCTGTGCCATGCCAAATACGCGGGTGACGTGCGGTTGTCGTTAACAGCAGAGATTCTCCTGGACTATCCCATGCCTAGTTTCGTGGGGCTGCCCCTGAAACTGAACGTCACCGGGATAACTTTTGACGGCGTCGCAGTGGTTGCCTATATCCGCAAGCGGGTCCACTTCTGCTTCCTGTCATCCGAGGATGCGGACGCGCTAATTGGGTCGGACCAACAGGATGTCGGGGGCCAAACGGACTATTCACGACCTGGTGGAGATGCGACCGTCTCTGCAAAGCGACAAGGTGGCCTGCTGCAAGAGATCCGGGTCGAGAGTGAAATCGGCCGGAAAGAAGATGGGAAACAGGTCCTCAAGAACGTCGGCAAGGTTGAACGATTTGTTCTTGCGCAAGTGCGACGGATCTTCGAGGAGGAGCTCGTCTATCCTAGTTTCTGGACATTCCTGGTCTAGTTGTGCCGCGGAAAAACATTGTCGACTCGCATTGATCTAAACCCGTGAGGTTTTAGGGTTTGATCGACCATTTGAATCGCACCGTCTGCTCTAGACCGCCTCGAGCCAAACGATTTGTCAGAAACAGGCACTAAAGCTGCAGTGTTTTATATCAACATTAGCGCCTGCGTCTCTCCTTGGCGATAGAATAAATGCGTCATGCCGAAACCCCACAACATTGTCACTTTCAGGATGCGTTCCCGTGTTCCTGCCAGAGGCTGAGGCTGCCAAGTCCCGACATCCCACAAACATCTGTATCGTACTTGCCCTTCAAGAGATAAGCGACTGCATCCTTGGCTCTTTTAGCTCTCACCCCTTAATCCTCCTGACGTAGCAGCCACTGTACGACCCAGTCAATAACAAATCGACCAACTACCAGCCAACCAAACACCACTACTTTCTCCGATCCCCATCAGTATCACATTGTTCTTCCTCTCCGTTACGCGTATCAAACATCATATCCGAACCCAGGAAGTAGTGCTGATGCCAAACCAGCAACAGTCTGTGCCCAGTCCACACGACGCGGAACGGCCCCAGGCGGGAGGGAGGGAAGGCGGGATCTACTCGGTAGGTGGGTGGGGGCGTCTGTCTGACTCAGAGTCAGCAAATATCTAGGACAGGTTACATAGTTAGCTATCTACTGCTGATGAAGAAGAGTAAGGGGTTAGATCAGGGGGTACTAGGTGAGAACTTATCGCTGTGGTGTGATTGTAAGATGTCAGCGATTCTTGATATTGGGCGTTGCGCCGGAGGAAGGGTTTAGCTGGAGTCGGAGCTGGAGCTGGGGCTGGGGAGAGGGGATATGTTTTGGAGATGTTGTTTTGGGTTTGAGGGGTGGGGTGTTCGATATGTTGTATCTGGGGATTGTGATATGGTGATTCTTGTGGAATGAGGGAGCTGAAGGAGAATTGTTGGAGGGTGGAAGGTACTCCTGCGTTGGGTCTAGTCTGAGGCTCATACAGGGTGTATTGTATTGATAGAAGGTTGGGTTTCGTATGATCGTATCTGTGGATTATCGCTCTAAGGCTTACAGAATAGCGACGTCGACCACGACAAATGTCTTAGTTCCATTGTAAGTGATAACCCAGATAATCCTAAGTTTTGGACAACTCCCCCAGAAAATACTCCAGCACAAATCACACCCTCAATGCACCCCAAGGATGCAGATCGGGCTCATCCGACCACCGTGTGTTGATGTCACATTCTACCCATTCAGACCCGAATTCATATGATAACCGAAATGCAGAGGAAGGGTAGCCTGCAGGTGGCCTGCAAGTGGCCTGTTGAACCGCTCAGCCCCAAAAGTAATGAGTCCATAGTTCCGACTGACCAACGAGTCGCAAATCGTATATCTTGCCGCAGTCCCGAAAGAATTTACAGGTCCTTCTTGGGGGCCTCGTCCTTTTCACCAGAAACCTGGTCACCCAGCTTGTGGTATTCACGGGTAAGACCCTCACACTGCTTCTTCAAGGTCTCAATGTCGCGGTTCTTGGCTTCAAGCTCTTGCTTCAGGCTTCCGATCTCACCGGCGTCACCGGCCTGCGCAAGACGGGCAGAGTCCTTTCCGCCGGCCTTCTTGTCACCCTCGAGAAGTCTGACTCTGTCCTCAAGACGGAGGACGTCCAAGATCATGGTGTAAGTGCGGTTGAGGATAAGAGACAAGAAGAGGGTGAATCCGCAAAGGTACATGTTGCGCTGCGAGTAGAACTTCCGGGCTTGGACTTCCATGCGATCAGTACCGAGGGCAGCAGCTCTGTATATGCAAGTAAGTTAGTACCAGTGCTAGATATCGATAAGAAGGCTTGCTTCGTAAAATAGACATACCCCATGGAACCTCCCTCTTTGCCAAAGGAGGCCAGCTCCAGCTGCACACGGTATACGCGGTTGACGCTATCGATGAAGAGAATGAGGATGAAAATGAATGTAATCTAAAACTTGATAAATGATTGTAAGGGGCAGGTGGCTCAAGTTACGTACCTTCAACCCATATTGTAACTTCGCTACTATCGGACTCTCCGAGATGAAAGCGAAGAGCTTCCTCTTCACGGTGAACGGAAGAGGGATGATGAGGCCCATGAAGACCGCCATCTCGAACACCAAGAGGCAGAATACCTAGCACCATATTATGAGCATATGTCCATGTAACAGTTCCCCGTTGCGGGTGACTGAGCGGGCCAGGGGCTGCAGGCTGCAGGCTGCAACAATCCCGAACTCATGCCATTGCGAGGAGAATTGGCAGTAAATAGTGTAACTTACGAGACTGTAGTAGAGAGTCATTGTGATTAAGCTAGTTCTTCAAAGCGACTTCTCTGACAGAGCTTTGAGTTGCAAATTGTGGCTTGGAACCAAGCTGCTTGAGGGGTGTTTTGAAAAGATGGCCAAGAGTCGACGGTGCCAGGCAGGACAGTTTAAGAACCTCGAAAGCTCGAGCAAGAGTAGAGCAAACCAAATTGGTCAAAGTAACACCCCTAGCTGTTATACTGGCTAAACAGTACAGGGAGATGCGGATGGGTACGGCACGTTCAGGAGATGAGGTGGTCTTTTTGCAGTTTCTGGTGAGAGGAAGACGTCATCACCGCCCGGAGCTGAAACCCGCACGTGACTCGGCCGCGGCTCGGCCCCCGGTCATCTACGTCATAGCGCCAGGGTCTTTACAGGTATCTTATAGTCATGTATGATAGTAGCTGCGTATGTACATCATCTCTATGCGTTATTTCTTGTCTAAAGAGCGCGTCCTGAGCGCAAATTTAACCCTCCGCCTCGTCATACGAGTTCGACTTGTGTTTGGGCTCGAACTTGAAGTCCTTATGGGCCGGTCCGAGGAATATTTCCCTAGAAGCTGTTAGATCCGTTCACTGCAGTTACATATGGGTTCAAACTTACGAGATCTTGAGCCAATCCTTGTAGTTGGCACTGGCCAGCAGTGTCTCGAGCTCATTCCGGCCTCGGAAGGCTGGCGGCCTGTCGTTGATGGAGGGTGGAAGATGTTCGAGCAAACCAATAGGGATATAGCGCCGAGTAAAGCTCAGCCATTCCATCAAGAAGCGTCTGGTCGTACCAACGCCGTGCTCATCAGATCCCCATGTCTCCAGACCATACTTAACGAACTTCTCGACCATCGCCAAACGCTCCGTAGCGGACTTGTCAAGGTACTGACCCGCCTGAATCTCCTCGAAAAGCCAAGGCTTGATCAGGGCTCCCCGTCCAATCATAACACTATCAACACCGGCATTGTTGATGTGTTCATCGTAGTCCACATGGGAGTAGCAGTCACCGTTGCCAAGGAAGAAAACCTTTCCACCGTTTGGCTGTGTCCGAGCGTCGGGCTCACGTACGGTATCCGTCACTGCATCGGTTTTCTCGCCCAAGCGCTTGATCAGAGCGGCACATTCGGAGATATATCCCCAGTCAGCTGATCTGGTGTACCGTTGCTGTCTGCTACGGCCGTGGAGGGTAATAGCTGCGGCACCCGCAGCTCCATCGTGATGAAGCAAGCTGGTCTCGTAGCCTCCAAGGAGCAAACGTTCCGTCAGTTTCAAGGCATTCGGAGAGTTATCCTTCGTTCCCATACGAATCTTGACCGTAATAGGAATGTGTTCTGAGACAGTGTTCATGCCACGAATGATCTTCTCAAGCTTGGCCGGATGCTCCAGAAGAGCAGAACCAGCACCATCCCGGAAGACAAGGTCGATAGGGCAGCCACAGTTCAAATCAATGACACGCAGGTTCGGAGTAACTTTAGCCAGCGCTTCAGTAGCCTTAAACGCTTGCCAGGGCTTGTTTGCGGCAATTTGGGCACCGAACTTGAAATCCTTGGAGTTATCGTAACCTTGAACGATATCCGCCCCCGGCAAAAGCGTGGGAGGCAACATTTCAGACTCATGCGCCTTCATCAAGGCCCACTCCGATTTGTTTCCCTGGACCAGTGGCAAACTCATGGCCATCTCCGAGTAGGTAAACTGTGCGCCGAGCTCGACGCAAAGTCTTCGGAAGGGCATGTTGCCTTGTGTGGTCAAAGGCGCCAGGGCCGGGGTCTCTGGTCCGAAATACAACCGTCGCTTTTCCGATGGCAAAAATGGCGGCTCGACGTAGATCGCGCGGTTGTCCTCCTTTGCCTCTTTCTCGTCCTTAGACTCCCCATCCTTGCTCTCTGCGCTTTCAACTCCACCGCGATTCCGCTTGTGAAGCTCCTTCTCCATAGTCCTAGCAGTGTTTTCCAGCCAATCGCTATAAGGTCCAGCCCTCGGGAAATCCATCTTTCTCCTTGCCAAAGCGACCTTCTCCTCCACCGAGGCAATATTCACGACACCATCTGTGGCGAAAGGAACAAGCCGCTGCACCTTCTTCTTACGCTCCTCGTCTTCAACCAGAACCAATTCCTTCCTTCCATCTGCCGTATCGCGCTCCTCCATGTGTGAACCGAGAAAGCGACATTTGTAGCCCTCAGAGCATTTGCCGTTGATATCCCAGACGGGGCAGAGGCCGTTGAAGGTTGTAAGATCCTCTCGCTTGTGCTCCTTCAAATAGGTCCGCAGGTTATGCTCATACCGGCACTTCTCGCCGAAAGTGCACTCGGCGGGAGAGAACTCGGGCCTGAAGTTGACGCTTGAGCACAGTCCTTTTGCGTCTTCGGATCGACCGAACTTGCGATTCGTATTCTGACCGGTCTTCTTCTTGTTCTTCTTTACTCCTTTGTGCTCATCAGCGCGGCCATCGTGGTGTGCAGCTTCCGCAGCGTCATCGGCGTTCGTTTCCGGAGCGGGCTGGCTCCTCGTGGGTTGATCGATGATAAATCTAGCACAAAATCAGTTAGATTGGGCTTGCGACACTGACGTTTTGTCACATACTCAGCCTTGATAGGAGCGACACCCTTCACCCGCGGAGCTGGAGCATCAGCAGCCTGCACACTGGGACCCGCAGCATCATCGAGTCTGGCCCTTTTCGAGGGTGGCTCCTGGGCCTGGTCTGCAGCGGAATCGCCATTCTGCGGATCACGCTTGGGCGCATTAGCCTCTAGATTCGCAGTTGTCGGCTCCATTGTTGACAATCGCTTCCCTCGGAAACCGGCTCTCTATTCACAGAAAAAGCTGCAAGATGCAAGGACAGGCTCGAACTAGCGCGTCTAATCCAGACCCTTTCCGATTCAATGATGCTAGTTCTCGAAATCTCCGCATCAACTAATGCGGGCAAAAATTTCGGCCCTCACGCCCCTCCGGGGTTGTGATTTGCACTGTTTGCACCTCCAGTGGCGTTTGCGGCAGTCCCAGTGTGGCGGGACGGAGGCGGGTGAAGGCGGTCAGCACGTTAATGGCGGTGCAACCTGGGGCAAGCATTATTTTGACAGCCAATCCTGAGTCAGATGAAATATGCTGTTACGATGGCGGTATACGCGGTAGAACCGGAAGCGATTCTCTGCCGTCGCCTTGCCGGGCTTCTCCCATTACACAAGTCCGACAGGCTAGCGTAATCTTACACAGAGTACTACATGGGTAGGCCCCACCGATGTTGGACTAATGCTCACATTTTCTGGTTTTCTAGAAGAACTTAAACGACGGTCGATGGAGTCGATCAAAAGGCTGGGAACCTACCTAAGCCAGTCGCCAAAGCCAGCGGTTTGTTAGCGAATGCCCATCTCGTGTCGAGCACCCATCGGGCTCCGATCAATGTATGGATGGTCCCCGTACCTAGTTCGTACACACTAACAGCAACCCACTCCACCCAGCGCGTAATCCGTTTCTCGGACCATTGTCAACTGTTACGATGACTGTGGGATATCTATCTCTCCCCATCGGTGGCAATAATCACAAACCGGAGCACACGTTCCAACAACAAGAGCAATCAGCAAATAGGTTCGGAGATATACTAAGTAAGTCAATAATCAACGCCCATCACGTTCGTTGCCCCCTTAACCTAGAACTCAAAAGTCAATTGCAGCTTGGCGACTTGGTCACAAGACGTCCGCATCGGCCGTTTCGAAGATCTCCTGCGCCTCTTATTTGGTACCTCTGCTTAGCGCGTGTACCTGCTGATCTGATATGTCCACATGAGGATTACTCCCCATGCATGTTACATGTACATTAGGTTTTGCTGTTGTGCAAGCCACGCACAAAGTACGGGGAACCTGACCCCAGTTGTATACCCATGTAACACGACATATAGGTAGTCGTAGATTGGTATGTTCTTCGAGGGCCGATCTTTCAATACTACATGTATGTAGATACTAGGTACATTCGTACGTACTCCATACTCGTGTCTCTTTAGGCGGATGGGTGGATTAGGGTGCTGCAGCACAGATTGCATAAGGCAGGTACAGTGGCTCACTGTAGGGCGGAGGTATCCACTCCAAGGGACAAAAGCACATGTGGCATTCCTAGAACCGTGGACTTGGAAATGCAAGGGTGGCAACTTGCTTCTATAATTATGTATTGGTCAGGATTGTTCTTTGGATTCGTGAGCGGATCATTACATCTGGCAATTTTACGCAATACTGTACTCCGTACTATATGTGGTCTTGGATTTTACGTTGATGTTCTTTCGATGCGATGGTTGATACTTGAAAGGCTTCCTTTATGCGCTGTGGATATGCAGGACTTACGAGTCTACGTACAGGCTCGATCGTGTATGAGATCTATCATTTGTGATGTAGATATTCGAGATAAAGGTACCTGGCTTTCTCGATCATCTATGTAGGAAAAAAGTAGTGAGTAGGCGAGTTGAGGATGCGGCTAGCAATAATGTGGTATGTAACTGCCCAAGTGTGCACTGTTTCTCCAACATACTAGTCAATCCTCAGGGATATGCAAGTGGATACAGACGCCTCATTGACTCGAATTAGGTTCCGGAAAAGCGCAGCCGAGGGGTTGAAAGTTGAGACGTCGATGAAACGGCGCTTGACACGGGGTAGATAGGAAACCTAGAACCGCGACATTGTTTCTGGAGAACAAAGAACATATTCTCCATGTATTCTCTGATCTGAAAGTGTACTTAATACTCACATATCGCTTGATGCATCCATTCAGCAGACATAAAAATCTAGTGCAGTTGCATTGGTAAGCATTTCTTCCCGAACGGGAAAGTCACTCGACTGATAATGCGGTGAAAGACTCAAAGTTGCCGCTAACCATTAGAAATGCTTCTGCAGCGCTTCTAGTGTTGGAGCCAAGACCCAAGATATACCCTAGACTGATTGCATGATTGCAAATGGAAGTCCATCCTCCCCGACTTTCGCGGCGATCGGCGTCCGGAGAAAAAAGGGGCTTGATCCCATTCCTACCATCTCTCAACCAATACCAGAAGATCCGGCTCATCAACAGATCATGTTGAACGGGAAACGGTGTGTATGTGCTGCTAGACCGTCTTAGCGCCCTAGTAGTGTTTGCTCTCCTGTACACCGTCTACTTATCGTTGATACAGAGAACACTCATACAGACCGCCCATTTGTCCCGTTCGCGTAAACGCGAGGCTGCTAGGTATACTGTTGATGTCATCGATATATGGCCAATGCTGAACAGGAGCGATAAGAGGCCGTGCTTCATGCTTATCGCCATCTCGGGGTTAATCCCGGGATACTATAGATCGATGCTTACGGGGAAAGGGGGCCGAGGAGCATGGGCGGATGTCCTTGGAATGTCCGATGCGAATGATAAGAGGTAGCCAGTATGACCATAGAAACCGCTGTAGGCTCGTAGCCCCTGATCCTTTGGAGTTTGCGACGACTGCACCCGAACCTTCATTTTCCGGTCCACACCCACCTCAGAGTTCCTGAATATCAAGACCAACAGTTGTACACTGAGTTTCGGGGGTTGTGGGGGTTTGCTAGCCTATTCAACGCTCCTGGTTTGATGTGGCATGACAAGCTTTGGACCCTTTTGACACCGCTAGAATGAATGAACCAGCTTCCAGGAAGGAACAACCGGATAACTTCTGCCTATGAGTATAGGCCAAGTCCCTGGAGGAATTTCAGCCGGGATAGAGTGCACATGCGAACCATAAGTAGATAGCCTGCTTCCTTGGGGTAGTGGGTGACGTTCTAAGCTCCGAAGGGGGGAGTGTTGCCCGTCAAGATGTCGTACATGTATACTGTTCTCTGAGGGGAGGTAGAGTCATGCCAATTCCGAAAAGCGGATGATCCCGAATTTGGGACGATACATCAACATGGCTTGGAAACGTGGGATGGATGGAGGTTGCAAGGACAACGCAGGTGGGAGAGGGAGGTGAGCTGGTGGCACCCAAATTAGGTCCGCCGGCGGTTATCCTTCATCGAGTCCATCCAGCTCGGTAATATTACAGACAGCCGGGATCTGGAGCGGGGACCACCCCTGCGTATTACCGCGCGATACCGGCGGACAATACAAGGGTGACGCCCCTCTGGATCTCCTGCAGCAGCAGCTTCCCACCAGTCCACCGCCGTCATCATCATCGACTTTTCGAAGAAGCGCTAGTGAGTCGACTAGACTGCAAGCGGTGTCAAGTTCATTGCTGCTAATGGGTCCACCCTGCTAAAAGCCGTAGGGAACCAGAAGCTGCGCTGACCACTGGGACCAGTGGGCGAAACTCCCATGGATCTCCCGACACCCTCATACGTAATACTAAGTCGGCCGGGGATTCGTCGTTGGGCACTGGGCAGATGCTGGGCACTTCTGATTGCCTGGCACCGGGTCACGGGTGGCCCCAGTCATGCCTGACTAATGGGGCCCTCCTTGCCCGTTTCAGACAAGTACGGACATCGTCCGGGACGTACCGTAATCTAACTAGGGGACAGGTTGACCACGGACGGGGGGGGGAAGTAAACCTGGGTAATAAAACGGTAAAACGGTAATGTTTGAGAGTCATCTTGGGTGTTGCCCCCGGCAAGACAAGACAGGACCAGTCATTCTCGGGGCTGCTGCCGCCAGTTGCTAGGCTTCCTGACTTTTGCTGCTGCTGCTGCTGCTGTCGGTGAAACTGGTCTGTTGTCTCTCTCTCTTTCTTTCTCCATCCTCCACCTCCTCATCCTCACATCACCCTCTCCATCAACATCATCATCATCATAATTGCATTCTCTCTCTTCCTTCTCTTGAGTGCTACTAGTGTCGTTCCTGTGATTTAATCGGCAGTATCGTTATTACGTGCCGCCACCTTTCCCGAATCCGTCACTGTTCCGCAGCCAAAGCGGGACAACATCCGAGGGTGGTGGACACTCCCTGTGTGATCCCGCCCAAAACCGCCGTCGTGGAATCGTTCCTTCATGCTCGGGTCGTCAGAAGCGACGCATAGTCCTCCTCCTCCTTCTCTTCACTACTCTCCCTCTGTCGGGGATCTCGATTGCGCCTCTACTCGGGACTCGACCCCCGTCACCACGCCCCTCGGGTTTGGCGTACCGTTGCGCAGACCGGATAGGGAAAAGCTCACGCATTTCTCGTTGACTCGAAATTCACTCGACATCGGCGACACGTCCTCACCGTACTTTGACAGTCGGCATCTTTACCCTCATTTCGATCCAGACCACGACTTTCCTCTCTTCCCTTCCTCCCCCTTACAAACCACCACCATGACCGGTGCAGCCGCTCCCATTGACATTGCCACCCGCCAGAGTTCCGTCTCTCCCCCCGGTCAGCAGGCGTCGAATTTGACGTCTGCTCTGCAACGAGCCGGTAATGGAGAGCGGACAGGCAGCTTTTCCCACGCGAACGGTGTCGGACTCAGTGTCTTCAAAGCACCCCCTCCTCGCAAGGACTCCATCGGTGCAGCTACCGCACAATGGGGCAACGGGACGAAACCTATCTCAATGTCGGGTTCAAACCGCGACAAACCCCGCCGCGAATCTTTGGCAGGAAGCTTAGTCGGTGGAATGAGTTGGGGCGGTGTATCTGTTGGCAGTTGGATTCGTGATGAGTGAGTGTCCATGTTGAAAGGGGGAATCTCTCTTGTGCTCCCCTGATTGCGCAAATCTTTTGGCCACTGGAAGCTAACAATGAATCATTCAGTATCATCATGACCGGCACCTCTCCGTTTACTTTCCAGTCCCCTTCATTTCACTCTTCTTCATACTTACCCAAGCTGGAAGCGAACTTCATGCGCGACTTTTCTTGCTGCGGGGTGACTCTCCCCACGCTTCACGATCTACTGCAACACTATGAAGAAGCGCACGCCACCAAGTCCCCCCAGCAGGGGCACCGCCCCAGTCAAGGCGACAGTAGGGCGGCTATGGCTGCTGTAGCTATGGCACAGCAACAGGGCCAGCAGAATAACAACCAAAGCCGTGGTTTGCAACCTGACAGGACCCTGGACATGCAGCGAAAGTTAAACCAGACCCCGCACGCTCAGCAGCACTCGGATATGGACACCATCGATGACATGGAACTTGATGAGCCGATGGGCGACCACGATGCGGCCACTTCGCAGCTATTCGCGCCTCAGTCGCGCGATGGAGGCCAAGGGGGCTTCGGCAACTCCAACCAAAGGGTTCCGCACCTGAATCTCTCGATGCTCCCAGGACATCAAGGATTCAAAGGCTCTCAGCCTGGGACACCTGTTGCTTCCGGGCGGCCCTTGTCGTTGCAAAACAACCCGACGGTTTCATCTGTTAACACGCCTACTCTGATGGCGAATCCCTTGCAGAATTCTCAGTTTCGAACCACACCCGATTCATCTGCACCGGGAACCCCGGCGGAAATGGATGACAGCATGGTTGGTGGCTTTGGAGATCTCTCTATGCAAAATCCAATGATGCAGGGTCAGTCGCAGTTTGGCAGGTTTTCCGGAAACAATAACGATATGGTAGACCTCTGTATCGACGAACCAGCCAAGCGATTGTTTAGCCCAACTGGCGGAATAAACACCCCTAATGCTCACTTCAAGCTGAGCGGCGCACAGTATGGACCCAACAGTGAAATTGCTCGAAGGATCCGAGAGCAACAGCTGCTGGCGGGCGTTCCTGACACCACTGCTCTTCTCCCCAACGAGGAGCCGAAGCCTTTCCGGTGCCCAGTCATTGGTTGTGAGAAGGCGTACAAGAATCAAAATGGTCTGAAATATCACAAAGCTGTAAGTTGCCTCAATTGATCCGCTCTATGCATCTTCTGACCGTTCCATAGCATGGCCACAATAACCAGCAGCTTCACGACAACGCCGATGGAACCTTTTCGATCGTCAACCCCGAGACCTCAACGCCGTATCCAGGAACTCTTGGTATGGAGAAGGAGAAGCCCTACCGCTGTGAAGTCTGTGGCAAGCGCTACAAGAACTTGAACGGCCTTAAATACCACAAGTCACACTCTCCACCATGCAACCCAGACTTCCAGCTTGCTGCAGGTCGCAACTTGGCATTTGGCGGAGGAGTTATGCAGGGGCAAAACATCAACGTTGCTGGGGCTGGCCTACCTGGCATCGGTGAAGAGGGTCTCCTATGAGGTCCCCCTTATCACGAACGACATGCAATCCATTTTTACGCATCATTATTCCCACACTAATTCGACTCGACGATTTTTGACGGCCTCGTCGCGCGGAATACGATTTAATGACAGGTTCGGTGGCTTGGAGTTTGGTATGAACGTCATGTCAATCGCGGTTCGGGACGACCGTGTTTTGGTCTGGTAATAGATCAGTCCTATCCAAGAATTTCAAGACCTCTCACGACTCATCCGCCGATGAACGCATCGGCATGGATTTTCCGGTTTCTTTTGCTTGCTCCTGGCATTGTTTGATTTGACGGCCTTGTGAGTTTGGGGTCAAAACAGAAAGATGGGTTTCTCATTTGTTGTCTTCCATTGGTATGTCCCTCCGCGATACATCGCACTAGGTCGCATATCTAGGTCTCTGCGCAGCCTCAGGATCTGCCCACCAGGGACTTGGGGACTAGATTGCCATTGAGTGATTGAACGGTTCCGGATTGAAAAACGAAAAGCAATTTCGCGCAAGGCTTTGTGCTGGATGTGCAGAGCCGCAGCAACGCAGTGGTCTTTCTTTAGCCTTTGTTGATACATGAGGTTCCACTCGGAAGAAAGGGAAGACAAAAAATAATGGTGGCACTGCGGCGTCAGTTCTGTAGATAGTGTTTTCAGACCGGTTTCTGGCCTTTTTTTGCTTACAATATGTCTTGTCTTTTCTCTTTTCCGTTCTTGCGTCGCTTTGCTTATTTTTTGCCTGTGGTGTTGTTGGAGAACCTGGGACTTTGACTTACCCGTGACTTTTGACTTCTTGCTGATAGAGTTTTTCCTCTTCTCTCGTTTCTTTTTTTGAAACCATGCTACTTTGGGATTCCCGTGTGTTAAAAGGTCGCTTGCTTGCAAAAGAAAAGGTGTTAAAAAAAGTCTGAACATGAACAATTTCACTCCAATACTTCTCGGTTATGTTTGTTTTTGTTGTCTTGGGGTCTTAAAAGGCTTGTGTAGCCGGATGGTTGTGGATGGGGGGACGGTAGACTGTGGATGGTATTACTAGATGAGATGGTGTAGACGGAGAGAGGGGAGAAACTTTCTATTGTTCCCGGCACAATAAGGAAAAAAAGGCTTATTGAGGAGGGAACACTTGACTTATTGTTGACTAGTGTTGCTGTCATTAACTATGAGGGGGCGCCAGTGTCCACGTGATTAATACCAACGAACTGAGCATAAGGATCCTCCTAACTAGCTGTACTTACCTTGGTCGTTCTTACTCTGGAAAAAATAGTAGACTTTGTATGAGAAGAGAAAGACAAAGGATAAAGACTATCTGTTTCATTCGAATATGTTACTCTAGTACAGCTAGCTAACTGGAAGAAACCGCCGTCCACCTGCATAAGCGCCACATACATCCAATGTGGGAAAAAGGCGTCTGAAATGGAGTTATCGAAGGAGACACAAGACGAAAACAAGAAATCCCAGTGTGTTTGTTTTCGTGAAAAATCATTTGAGGTATATCTCCGCTTGCACCGACTGTCGAGATGTCTGAAGGAATCAGATTTGGGTTGGGATTGTAATCGTTGCTCATGGAATCCGAGACATATTTGGAGTTTTTACAGTTGGGGTTCAAAAGGAGAACATAGGGAAGATGGGAAGAGGGAGAAGAAGAAGAAGCGGAAAGAAAATACAGGGCATGGGAAATCGTTCGGAGTGTGAGGCGGACGTTCACCACTCAAACTCTCCTTGACCTTTGTGGAAGACGTATCTGATACCTCGTTAGATGTTTCAGGCCAAATCTGAAAGGATTGGGAATGTTGGACTCACTCCTTGCCACCGGTGGTTAGGATACCATCTTTGAGCGTGCACTTCCACTTGTTCTTCACGCGTTGCACCTTGTCATAGGTACAAAGCATAACCTGACCCACAGCGTCTTCCGCATCGTGATCATCCGCAACAAGGTCATCAGGGTCGTCGAGATCGGAGTTGATGGCGTCCTCGTCGTCTTCGTCCCTTTCATCGTCGCCTCCAGGGCCATCATATTGAGCACCGGTAATTCTAGGTGGCTGATCGTATACCACCGGCTCCTTGTTGTTACTTGAGTCTGATTGGTTTGCCAGCAATTGTGATGGAATTGATGAGGATTGGTGCTCCTTGAGAGGCAGCATGAGACCGCCGCCCTCTAACTGGAGCATGCGTTGCTTGAGGTGTTCGCGGAGGATACGGTCACCTTCTCCCCCCTGGCGTTCAGCAGCTTCCCGCCTCCGTGCAACCTCAGCCTTCCATGTGGACAGGGCGTCATCACCAGCACCATCTGTTTGTGCATTCCCGACGGGGGGCTGGGACACAGGTGGGTAACCCGGTTCTTGCTTGATTTGTGGGGCCTGGCCATTTGGAATATGCTGAAGGTGTGGGGGACGCGGCTGACCCGGCATGCCCATGGCTGCCTGTGCTTGTGATTGTGCTTGCATCTGGCTGACTGAATTAGCGGCAGCAGCGCCATACCGCTGTCGAAGCATGTTGGCAGCCCGTTCCTGGGCTGACTGAGGGTTCGGGGAGTTCGACATCATCATGTTGTTCATGGGGATCATCCCAGGCTGGCCATTGATACCAGGCTCGGTTTTGATGTGCGGTGGCTGACCCATGGCATGAGGAGGGGGCCCAATGGGGGCGGGAGCCTGCAGCGGGGGTACCGTACCGGGGACGGACTGCGGGAGAGGTTGATGAGGTGGCGGGGGAACATGGTGCTGTGGTTGATGGGGCGGTCCAGGCCGGGGAGCATTGGAGGGGACCGTCGCCGTAGGAGGAAGAATGTTCTGAGTCTGAGGAGGAGCGGGTTGCGGCGGCGGGGGGTCCCAGGGGAAGTGAGCAACGCCCAAGGAGGAAAGCTTTTTCTGCCAGCTCTGAGGGAAAGTCAGTATATGACAGTTCAATAATCAAGCCGACGAAGGTAGAAAGAGAGGCAGGCAAAAGGGTCGATAAATTGACAGAGTCGCGAAGTGAAGGGGAAACGGGCAGCGAATGACGATGTCGAGGAGGCTTGGCAGAAGCCGACTAGGGCGGGTAAAGGCGGCGTGGTATAAAAAGAGACTCATAAGCAGGCGATGCCCCCAGAAGCCGCGCCTCCCGCACCTCTCGGACCCCGCTTGGGGCTCCCCCCTGGGGGCCCCCCAAGTGCACGACCTCGTCTGCTCACCACAAAGAAAGAAAGTTGGAGAAAGTTGGATGTTACTACTTACCCGGCGCAGGTCTAACAATGTTTGCTGATCCACTCCACTTTCCTCAAAGTCCACCTGGGAGCCATCACAAACCTCCTGGATGACCCGATCGAACACCGTGCCCTAGGATACCTGGTATGAGCCAAACGTCCTCATAAGGATGGGCTGGAGAAGAGGAGCTTCAAGGGCAGGTATAGAGCCACAGCCTAGGCTCAGAGAAGTCCCCAACTCTAGTAAGGGAGAGCTGTTTAAGATAGCACTCACCACCTGCTGGTTCGACATGATTGCAGCCGGGACTGTGACAATACTCCAGAGAGGAAGCTCGTCAAACCAGGTAAAGAGAAATTGATAAGAAGGCGGGGACAATAAATTTGCTCTGTTGCTCTGTTCTCTAACGAAGGAAAAAAGCCAACCACGGAGGCCTATCAACACGCACGAGCACGACGTGGATGAGTTGCCGGGCTTATCACAGGTAAAGCCTCGCCGTCGCAGCGGTCGCTTGCCACGGGCGAATGAATGCGACAGTCGAGTCTCTTTCTCTCCAACCAACTACTTCTGACCACCCTCGGACTTGCACTGCTTCTGTAGATGACCTCTCTTACTTCAAGATCCAATATTGTGGCCTTTGGGACGCGACAAGCTGTAGAAATCGGACGAAATGCCGGCAGGTAGGGACAAAGCAAGGTAGGCGTGCCGGAGGGATGTGGTTGAGGTGAAAGTCGCTCGTTGCGGGCGAAATCCGCCTCCCTCCCGCCTGCTTAGTCACCACCACCGCTAGTCCCTAGTGGGAGGTCCGGGGGATCTGCCCCGGCGTGACTACCTACTAACTAGTAGTGACTTGGTCTCGCCACTTGCTTTGTCGATGGTCGAGAAAAAAACACAATCTGCCTTGTCACCTAGTTCTCTGGTGAGTCAATGGTATCAGGCTTTGCTCATCTCATACAAACCTCTTTCCAATCACTCTCATCATCACCCGACCTAGACAGAGACAAAGGATGGTTTGAGCTCAACTCTCCAATCCCCTCCGCGCAGCTGTCTATGATTAGTTATTCTCAACTTGGCCTGGTCTGCTAACAGCCAGAGGGTTAGTTTTAAGAAACCTCCCACTTACGATTGGAGTGTCTATAGGAGGACGAACTCTACTTATAACTATGAGCTAGGACCCTCCCATAAGAAACAAGGATGTGTCCGAAAGTGAGGTGTGCTTCTTCTTGGGATCGGTTGGTACCATTCTAGAGGTCGAAACGAGCCAGCGAGCATTTAATACCACCCGGCCTATCTTGATCTTCCTTTGGCAAACTCGAATGCTCTTTCTGACTACGTGGGAGCTCGAAGATTCAATACATCAGCAGTGACAGACCAACGTCATGATTTCATCCGATTTACCAATGCAAAGATTTTCCCGTCAAGCAGAATGGTTCCAGCATTGAGCGTGATTGAAGATACTGAAGACGCACGCTTCTACTAGGTGCCGCTGCTGCTTCAGAGTCGATTGTAAGCTGGAAAGCTCAACGTCGGATATAGTATGTTGGCTGAAACCTATAGCATGAATTTCTAATGGCAACAAAGGCCTGGTAGCAGTATCGTAGTTACCATATGCTGTCTTGCTACTATTGATTTTCTTATGCGAGGCTCGAGTGGTAGCATCCCGAACAAGATAGCTCAATGCATGACTTGGACAACGAAAGTGAGTGCATACAAAGAACTCTATCCGTCTGATGCTTCCTAGATGTGAATGAAGCTACCAAATGCCAATGTAGATCACCCTGGCACCAGGTAAGCAATTAGGGCTCTCCCTCGTGCACGGAGCTTACCGATCTCGGCAAGGCGCGGGTGGAGATTCGCAGCCGAACCTTGACTTTTGACCGTCGTCTTCTCCACTTCCTGTTGTTCTCCATCCATCTAGATCTATCGCGTTAACCTTACGCTACTGCCGATAAGATATGAAACGGAAACATGACACCGTCCCGGAGACAATGGTGCAGCGATGGTCTCGACCGCCTCTCTCATGTCGCCTTTGTCGAGCGAAGAAGCTGCGTTGTGATCGTACCCAGCCCTGTGCGAATTGTGTGCTGAGGAAAGTACCTTGCGTATACTCCGGTCCATCAGACTCTCCGGACGAACTGCGGGGAGAAGCTTTGTCTAGCAGTCAGCCCACTGCTGTCACGGTCTCCACACCACAAGACTCTATACCGCAGCCAGCAACAACCATTCCATCAATGCATAGCCGAACTACAACCTCCTTGTGAGTCGCTCCCATTATGTATGTCATTACGATAACTCGCTGACACATTTATAAAGCGATCCAAATGATATTTTAAGCCGGATTCACAAGTTGGAAGAAGCTGTCTTTGAAAACCCCCAAGCTGCCCGGGGTGAGTTACACCCAGTCTGTTCTGCTCGGTCAAAAGCATCCGAGACCACCTCGTTGATGACCAACTTAGTCCCAGATCCACCTGGTACTATTTCTGGCCCTGGAGAAAGCAAACCCTCAACCCAGTGCTTGATCACAAGAGGGGTATGTGATACGCTATACCAGTTTTCTATGGTTTTTCTTACTCGGGATCTAAAGCATGTCCTAGGTGCAAGGCTCCAGTAGTGAGTGTGGTACTCCGTTCGCAATATTATCACGCACAGCACAAGGACGCATTTCTAGCCTTGATGACTGTCTGCGAGACATGAATTTTGTCTCCCGATGTCTCACCCCATGGGATCAAGCTCGACAGCTATTGGATCAGTTCGTCATGACCATTCAGCGAACATATTGGGTTCTCCATATTCCCTCGACCAGAATCTTAATAGATAAAACCTATCAAAACATGCTCAAGGGCGAGGAGCCGAGCTCTACCGTCATGTCGCTGCTGTTTAGCATATTTTCCGGTGCTGCTTTGCTTGCGACGCCTGAATTTCTGCAGGTGCTGAACGCTACCCAAGCAGAGGCCAAGGCAGCGTTCGCAACATACACACGCCTAGCGATTGCTATCATCGATAATCCCATCCAACCCGTGCCTCCGTCAACGGTAGCTCTTGAAGCCATCAGCACCTTATCCCGTGTCCTATCACATGCGGACTGGTATTCCAACAAAGTCCAAACACTCAGAGTCAGCGCAATCTGCATGGCTCGAACGATGCAAATTCACCGTCTAGACACAGCCAAGAACCAAGAAGAAAGACAACGCTCCGGTTACGATGTGATCGAGGTCGAAGTCCAGAGACGAATATGGTGGCACTTGGTCTCGACTGATTGGTAACATATGCCCTTCTATCTCATGTGAGCCAGATGAACTAAAAGCCACAGGATAACAGCGTTCTCGCAAAGCCCACACGAGGGCTCATACCTCATACACCCAAAGCACATGAAAGTAAACCATCCAATCAACATCGAAGACGACCTCATAACAAGTACGGGGCCAGAATACGGCTTACCCCCATCGGTCCCAACATCGATGTCTATCTTCATTTTCAGACTACACTACGCAGAACTGTGTCGTGAAGTTATTGACATAATAGGCCCCACGCTCCTCGAGTCCGAGCAACCCGACTACGAAACAATCCTCGACATAGACCGAAAGTTCCATACCTTCCTGAGATCCACACCAGCCTTCTTCCAGATCGACACCGACCACAGCCAGGAAATATTCCAAGAGCGACCCTACCTCTCCTGGCAACGAACCATGGGCCATCTAAGCTTCCACGTCCGCCTCTGCCGCCTCCATCGCCCCTATCACCGCGAAGGCATAACAAACCCAAAGTACGCCTACTCCCGCTTAACGTGCATTCGCTCCGCCCAAACCGTCCTCGACCTCCGCCGTTCCTTAGAAAAGGCCGGTTCCCTCGCCGGCTCCAACCCTTCTGATTATGGCCTAGTCATGAACCACGTTTTCTTCGCCGCGATGATCCTAGCCACTGACGTATCCATGAACCCAACTTCCCCAGGAGCCGACACCCGCAAGCAGGAAGTTTTAGATATTATCCACTTACTTGAAAATTCGCAGAATGAGTCCCCTGCTCTTGTGGAAGCCATTCAGAAGAACATGCAGACACTGCTATCGATCCTTCAGGGCTCACATCGACAACATTCAAGAACACCTCCGACTGCCGATACCGTTACTGTGCCTCCCGAGATCAGAACGAGCGCTCAATTGCAGTCGCAGCTGTCTGATGTAGGACTTAGGGACGGGATTATGGCAGCCGACGGACAAGTTTCTTCCATGGACAATATGGCTGGCGCTAATGAGGGCGCCATGTGGAGCGAAGCTGGAAATGAAAGTTGGGGTCAGCTGTGGTCTGATCTCTTCGATGTAGCGCCGGAAATGGATGGATTGCAATGGGATCTGCTATTAAATGACTCCGATCTGCCTCTCCAGACAAACTTCTATTGAGAGAGGTGACCGTGGAGAGCTTCATAGCCTGGCTTTCCAAGTTCCTGGTTGCCCAGTTCGATACCCTACCGCAGAGCCCAGGAGTCAGGTCTACAAAGAGTGAAACAAGCCGTGATTACACAGTATGCGACTTTCTATACAAGAGCAGCTATTATACGGTTGAACCTAGATACAGACGCCGGTTACCAATGAACTCCCCTTCCACTCCATAACCCGAACCTTTCCCCAATGTACCGAACACCGATAAAACCAAAGATATCTAGACAATTTCGGTCCACGATATCGAACCCAAAATATGACCATCAAAAAGAAAGTAACAGAATGCGAAGAGAGATTGAAGGCGACCGACCAATCTACCGAATGGTCATAGACTTGGTCATTTCAGCCTTGCTGCCAACACCACCCTCCCGGGAGGCGGAGGCGCTTGTTCCGGGTTTGCGCTCAAAGATCTTCCAGAACTTCAAGCTCTCATCAGCGGCTGCAGTGGCCAGGAGCTGGCCATCTGGACTGAGGCAGCTGTGCAGAACACGAGTCTCATGGGCCGGAATCTCGACGTTTCGGACCAGAGTGGGGTAGCTCCAGATGCTCAGAGAGTTATCGGGGAAACCACTCGAGCTGACAATTTCGCGGTAGTGGTTGCTCCACCTCAAGCTGGTGACCTGGGAGCCGGTGTCGATGCTGTTTGTACGAGCACCGGTAGTGGTGTTCCAGAAATGGATGTGACGATCGTATGAACCTCCACCAGTGGCAAGCAGGTTCAGTTGCCAGGGGCACCAACTGAGAGCCTTGACAGCGGCGCGGTGGTTGGTCTTGGTGAACTTGGGGGTGCTGAGGGACCGGGCATCCCAAATGTTGACCAGGTTGTCGTTACCACCGGTAGCGAGCTGGGCGCCGTCAGGCCTCCACTCCAGGCCACAGACTTCAGAGGTGTGCGAGACCAACTCGGCAGTCTTGTGCTGTGCGATGCGAACGTCGTGGTTGAACACCAGACCGCTGCGGGCGCCAGTGGACAGAGTGTGCTTGGACCAGCCCATGACACCCACCCGCGAGTCGTGACCAAACATACTACGAAGCTTGGTTCCCTCCTCGACATCCCAGATTTGAACCTCACCGGTTCCCAAACCAACGCCAACATAAGCGCCATCACCACTCCACTTTACACTGCTCACGTATGTGTCGGGTGAGGTCTCCAACAAGCAGCTGACCGATCCCGATTCAGCCGACCAGACGTAAACATTGCGCTCCAAACCAATGGCAACCTGGTTACCAGAGCTCCAATCCAACAGATTGAGGTAGTAATCATCGACAAGTCCGGGAGCATCAAGAACACGCTCTGGAGCTGTCTGGACTCTTCTGCGGAACTGAGCGGACTGAGACTTGGCAGACTTCAGAGGGCGGTTATACTGGGCACGCAGGTCGATCGGCTTAGACGACTCCGGAGGTGGAGGCTTGAAGGCGAGAATGCGAGTGTTTAGGTTGACGCCACAAGCATCAGCCAGCGACGACTCATACGCTACAGCATCCGGTGCTGGCTTGGTGTATGATGTTGTTGTCTCGCCATCATCGAGCCCAAGGCTTTCGAGAGCTGCAGTGATGTCTTCCTCGGTTCCGCGGCCACCAATGTCAAAAGCACTGGCAGCACTCGCCAGGACGGAGGACCCGTCATTGCTGCTGGTCTTCGGTCGTTGGCTTTCCTCTGGCTTGGCTGTGCCTGCTGTCACAAGACCCTCGCTGGCGGTACGGTTCGGAATGAATCTGTCACCCGCGGTGTGTGGAATGCGAACGGTTGTCTTTCCTGACCTCGTAGTACGAGTAGAGATCTCTTTTCTGGGCGCCTCTTTCCTAGAAACCTCTTTCCTAGGCACCTCTTTCCGGGTCACCTCTTTCCGAGCCACCTCCTTCCTGGGTGCTTCTTTGCGGGGCACCTCCTTCTTAGTCACCTCCTTAACCACTTCCTTCCTAGTCACTTCCTTCCGTAGCCGCTCCTTTGATGGAGTTTGTGACGAAGGACCAGTACCAGTCAGGGCCCATTCGGATACGCCCAGTTCAAGGTGCCTTGGTGACTTGCGAGTGCGGGCACGGGCGATGTTGGACTTAGGGGATTCGCGGTAGGTGCGGGCTGTCCTCGAGACGGACTTGGCGAAATATGAAGAGAGGTTACCGCCGTAGACAGACTTGCCATGTTCTTTGCCTGTTTCTTGAGCCCCACAGGGAGGTGTGAATGGAGACGAGTGGTTTGACGTCACACTTCCTGCGTGGGTGCGCGGTGAAGGCGTGAGAGGCATGCGGCCTCCGGCCGTCTTAGTGGAGAAGATCCCATGATGGGTCTTGACGGGAGTCGACACAATTGGGGTAGCCATGCTGGTATATAATTATTTTTGGCGAATAAGGGGGTATCAAGAGAAAGTGCCTTCAAAGTCCAGTTGCGAGGCCAGTCGCAGTTCTGCACTGACTTGAACTCCGGACAGGGAAGACCTGAATGCAACACTGGTATTGAATGCAGGCAGGGAATCCGATCCCGCGCAATATGGTATGCAGCGAATAGTAGATAGACGCAAAAAAAAGGAGCAAGATGGTGTGAGGAAAAGGAGGACAGACGGGGGGGGGTCTGGAGGAGAGGAGCGAGTAAATAAAGGATATAGTTCTGCTCTCCCATGGCAACGCCGGTTACTGGAGGTACGGCTGCCCTAGGCTCCTTCCGGCTAGGACGCCACCTGACATGCGGCTCTTCCCCTTTTGGTGGCGATCGGCTTGGCGATGGCCGGGTTTTTGCCTCGTCATTTTGCGTCTCGTTTGCCGCCGAAGCCGAGGGGTCGGTGAGATCATTCATCAGCAGCATGTGAGGGATAAGTGTTACTGTCCACGACATTTGATCTTTGATTTGACTTGATTTGACTTGACTTGACCGCACCATCTGTTCATCATCCGTCCCACTCCTTTTCCCTGGGCCGCCTCTCGAGTCGGGCCCTACTAATGGCGCGGCAACCATCCACTACCGCCAGGAATAGTAACGCTTCGTCGTCCTTCTCAATCTCGCCGTTCCACGCCGACCCACCGCTTTGGCCCGGGTCGTCCAGGACTTCGAACCCGATGACACCCCTTTCCTCCACTCCTCAGAAAGCGCCGTCCGCATTCCTAATGCCCCCTAGTCCAACTGGTGGTCGCCGTGGCAGCGCGGAGTACCGCCCGAGCATCCGTAAGGCTCAAGGCCATGTGCCCGCCTGCCTTGTCAACGCTTCGGTGACGTATTGCAATAATGACCAGATTTACGCTTTTGGCGGCTTTGACCAGTATACCGATGAAGGTACGTCATGTAACCTCTCGTGCTTTGCTACTTATCACCCGAGGCAATTGTTTTCGATACTTGACTGAAACCGATGCATTGCGTCTATTTGGAGAACAGACGGAGAGATATATCCTAACAGATACTAATGTCGTTCACTTGGTGAATTAGTCTACAATCACGTCCTGCGCTTGAACCTCAATACGCTTCGATGGGAGCTTGTCGATAACTATGGCGATATCCCCGGAGTTCGCATGGGTCAGTCTTATCCGAATCGATGAATAGCTATATGCAACCATGCTAATTGAACCTCTTTCATCTTTCAGGCCACACGGCGACCCTCTATCAAGGCGATAAATTGATTGTGTTTGGTGGAGAAAATGAGCACCGCGAGTATTTATCTGACATCGTTATTTTGGACCTTAGCACCTCTACTTGGACTCAGCCGGAAATTCATGGACCGACTCCACGAGGAAGGGCTCGCCATGCGGCTGTCATCTATGATGAAAAGCTTTTCATCATGGGAGGGGTTACCGGAGAGAACAACATCATTCTTGATGACTTGTCGTATCTCGACCTGAAAACCTGGACCTGGTCTCGGACGTGGAGATTTACAGCCCGGTTCGACCACATTGCCTGGGTCTGGGGCGGTCGTCTCTGGATCTTTGGAGGCCTCGATCCTGATATGGAACGTACAACGGACATTTGGTGGCTGGATCTGAAAGGCATCCCGTCTCTCGGAATGACAACTTCGCAAGGTACCGTGGATTCCCCAGCGACCATCAGCAGGATGACTTATAGTCCAGACGCAATATTTAGTAGTCCTCCGCAGCAGCTTCCAGGCCGGTCCGGTAGCTATGCAGCAAATTCAGGGAGTCTGCAAGTGCGCAGCTCCAACCGCCGGAAGCCGATCGCCCCCGGCGCCATTTCTTGCCTTCGGTTCAAATCTGGCCCTCACGTTCCTGCACTGTTCTCCGGTACTCATTTCCAGGCTTATGCATCCGGGTTACTCCTGGACCTGATCACGCCATCCGAGACCGTGCGCACTTATGAATGCAACCTGTCGTCATTGGATCTGGACTCCTTGCGGTGGCAGCGGCTCGCTGACGGACAGGAAATCTTCAAACCAGGTTATCGATGGCATTACTGCACCGTGAACGCCAGCGGGACCAAAGCATGGTTGCTTGGCTGCAGCCTCGACACTGGGACCACTCCCGGAGCCAGTGATGAGAACCACATGAGTGAAGTGCTGTGCATTGACCTTGAACGATACGGCCTGCTGGGCAATGAAATGGCTGCCTTCTCGCCCAGTCAAAGCAGGACGTCGCTTTCCGAACAAGCAGGGATGCCGCCTCTCTCCGGTTTAGGAGCTGACCTCTCCGCTGCGTTCGACCAGCCGCCTGAATCCGGTAGCGGCGCTGACTTTGTCATTACTGCTAATCCAGATGACCAGATTGACACAGATGATGAGGAGGACGTGCCAGCTCCACAGTCAGAGCCAGCTTTTCTACCTCCCAATGCAGCTACTTCCCCTCCCATCTACGTGCATCGAATCATCCTACAACTGCGGTGGCCCCATTTCAAGAGGCTCTATTCCGCGCAGATGGCCGAGTATCATTCTAAGAGGATGCATATCCCGGAGCCGTACTCGGTTGTTCGGGCATTCATCTACTATCTGTATACGGACAGCATTGCGGGTCACCCGGAATACTGCTCCGACATTATTGACGTTGCCGGGATGCTTGTCATGGCAAACCTGTATGACATGCCCAAGCTGCGTTTGCTGTGTGTCAACCGCCTGAGCCGTGAACTGGACGTGGAGAATGCGGCGATCATATGGGAACGCGCAGGACGGACGAACGAAGAATGGTTGATGCGTCGTGCAGCCCAGTTCTGTCTTAGCAACTGGGGGCGTGTTGTCCGAACCGATGGCTTCAAGTCTCTCAGCCGGCAGAGTTTGATCGAACTCTGCGAGGTGGTCGACACCGAGGGTCGCATCATTGCGGGGCCCGAGTTGGAGATGGTCGGAGCGCTTGGAGATGGACTTGGATCGAGCAAAGACGCTAAGCCTTCTCAGATGGCATTGAGTGGCAATGTGGCTGACAATATGGAGGATGTTGACGGTGAGGAGATTGACGGCATGGAGATTATCTGACGTGCTTGTCAAAAGTTATATCTGATGACATTTCTATACAGCATTTGTTTTCGGCACGGCGTGAATTGGGACCGACATATGGGTCAGGATGAGCATTATGAGACAGGAGTTATGAAAGTGTCATTATGACCAGGGATATTCAGCACATCGCGCATGTTTATATTTGCAGTTATTGAGAGTACTACTTCGTATTATATCCATGTTCCAAATGCCACGCTATTCCTAATCTACTTCGGGGCTCGGCCCGCCTAGCCGGTTAGGACCCCGCCATCCTTCCAGCTTCTCTTCCTCTGCCCATCCTTCCTCTGCCCATCCTCAGCTCTCGGCATCCCCATTCTTTCTGCCTTGGATGGTGGAACAGTCGGGTGGTTGGGCCAGGCGATAACAGATTTCGGTTCATTGACTGGAGTGGCGCCATCCCCGCTTTCCCCGCCACCGTTTGCTGCGGGGACCTGGCGGGAGGTCAACAGAACTATATAAACCTCCACTTCGCCGCTTATCTAGCCTTGCAATGAGAACTTCACATCTTCCATTATTTTATCCAAGCACCCTTGTAGTACCATCCCTAACTGCTTGATCCGGAAATTATCAAAAGATGGGTTCGGCAACAACCTCGACCTTACCTCCGGACTTTCTCTGGGGCTTTGCAACTGCTAGGTATCCATCCTTCGCGGGCAGGACGATGTTCTTGACTAACATGATAATTTACTTTATTATCAGTTATCAGATCGAAGGCGCGGTCCATGAGGATGGCCGTGGTCCCTCCATTTGGGACACGTTCTGCAAGATCCCCGGCAAGATCGCAGGGGGAGCCAACGGCGACATTGCTTGCGACTCGTACCACCGTACAGCTGAAGATATCGCATTGCTAAAAGAGTGCAAGGCCAAGGCGTACCGGTTCTCTATCTCATGGTGGGAATTGTCACGTCAATTAAATAGGGTCCGACTAAGCCATGTTACAGGTCGCGTGTCATCCCTCTCGGTGGTCGGAATGATCCTGTCAATGAAAAGGGTCTGCAGCATTATGTCAAGTTTGTTGATGACCTACTGGCTGCAGGCATCACGCCTCTCGTCACCCTCTTCCACTGGGATCTTCCTGATGAGCTGGATAAGCGCTATGGCGGTCTTCTGAATAAGGACGAGTTTGTTGCCGATTTTGCAAACTATGCTCGTGTTATCTTCAAGGCTCTCGGCCCGAAGGTAAAGCATTGGATTACTTTCAATGAGCCGTGGTGCAGCAGCGTACTTGGGTACAACGTGGGTCAGTTTGCTCCGGGTCGCACGAGTGATCGCAGCAAGAGCGCACAGGGCGATAGCTCGCGCGAGTGCTGGATCGTAGGCCACAGTCTCCTTGTAGCCCATGGAGCTGCCGTGAAGATCTATCGTGAGGAATTCAAGGCAAAGGATGGCGGTGAGATAGGGATCACCCTTAATGGTATGGCACTTTCCCGGCGCCTGCTAATGAGGGCTGCATCTAACTGTTATCTCTAGGCGACTGGGCCGAACCCTGGGATCCCGAGAACCCAGCAGATGTCGAGGCTTGCGACCGAAAGATTGAATTTGCCATCTCATGGTTTGCAGACCCAATCTACCATGGAAAATACCCGGACAGCATGGTCAAGCAGCTGGGGGACCGACTCCCTCAGTGGACTCCGGAGGATATTGCACTCGTCCACGGAAGCAATGACTTTTATGGTATGAATCACTACTGCGGCAACTATATCAAAGCCAAGACTGGCGAAGCGGACCCCAACGACATGGCTGGAAATCTGGAGATCCTGCAGCAGAACAAGCAGGGCGAATTCATCGGCCCAGAGACACAATCAACCTGGCTCCGGCCGTACGCGCTTGGGTTCCGGAAGTTGTTGAAGTGGCTCAGTGACAGATACAACCAGCCCAAGATCTACGTGACTGAGAACGGAACGAGTCTGAAGGGCGAGAACGACTTGCCGCTGGAGCAACTGCTCAAGGACGATTTCCGGACGCAGTATTTCCGCGATTATATCGGCGCCATGGCTGACGCGTACACGCTGGATGGGGTTAACGTGCGAGCTTATATGGCTTGGAGCTTGATGGAGTAAGTAGACATGCAGCAGCTTGAGTGTATGATTTTGCTAACACGGACAGCAACTTCGAATGGGCCGAGGGTTACGAGACCCGGTTTGGCTCGACCTACGTTGACTACGAGAATGGACAGAAGAGGATTCCCAAGGACAGCGCGAAGCAGATTGGATCGATATTCAACCAGTATATTGAGAAGTGAACAGGACGTATCTTCACTCTATATAGCTATTCATTAGCCAAGTCTCAAAGTGATACATATATTCGGTATGCTGTCTCATAGGAAGCCTAGCTTTCCATGTACAATACAAGTAGATATATTTCCAAGAATATTTATAAGCAGTATGAATAGTGTAACGGCGTACTAGTTATGCTTTATAACTACGGCATACCGCCGCCGCAAGGCAGCCAGGCCCCGCCACAGATGCCAACCCTCCGGGTCTCTTCTTCTCCCTCTTCTTCTTATTGCGTTTCGACCATCCATCGTACCATCAGAGCAGCTTCCACACTGTCTACAAAGAAAAATATCACTGTCTTTTGATTACAACACCATAAACGACATACCCAAACCATATCTCCCATACATCAAGGGCTACAAGTTCTCAGTGATCGAACGTTTCCCCCCCTGAACCTCAGAGTATCGTGAGCTTCACGCTTACTCCGGAAGAAGCCACCAGAGAAAAGATCGATGTCTTAACACGCTGTCTCACTCATGATCCGGTCCCCGGCCGACATGGCTCTCAGCATCTACGTTTCAAGATTCACGAGACTATTCGCGTCGGCGATGAAAACAAACCTCGCAAATAGTATTAGTGGATGTTACTTCAGGTTCACTTCCAAGTATCCGTACCCGCATTGTTGCCAAACTGTACGACCTTCTCTATTAAGATCATTCAGACGATGATGCGGATTCCTTTATCTTCGTGGACGTGGAATCCACCCGGGAAAGTGCTGCGTATAAGTATCTACATGGGAAAGAACAACCTACTCTAGAGTTTTATGGTTCATACTCTATGGATATCCACCACTCGGTGCACTGTCAGTCTCGCACGGTATGATTGGGATTGGACTGAGTAGTTACTTGGGAAGTATTCATCGGACAAGGAAGATATAACGTCTGGAATGGTAGAGAAGTGGCTTCCATTCGGCATAGATACATGAGCAGTTCCAGAGTTTTGTTGGATCCAGATGATGTTATGCTTGTTTATTCTTTTAGTTTATCTTCCTTTCCATTGCTTGTCTAATTCGGCCACCTTGAATGGATTACATACAAGGGTTCGAACCTTGAAATGGTGTGTAGATATGGCAGTACGTGGATGCTTATGCTCATATCTTCTTGGGGATTCATTTGACTCGGGGTAGCTTTGTTTAAGACAGTACAAGGTTTGACGAGTATCTAGACCCAGACTCGGATACTAAACCGGTATCAAAACTGAAACAATCTCCCACATAACATACACATACTCCATACTCAAATTAGGGTATCAATATTCGCTCCTTCCAACTCCACAATTCACAACAACCCCCATATACCACACCCCCCCATATCATCCTAACCCACCCCAAAGACAAATACCCACCATCAGTGCACCTAAACCCACCTCCCCCCTCCCTCCCTTTCATACCCAATAACCTTTAAATCAATCCCCATCATTTTAAGCATCACATCCATGGTGAATTCCTATATCCCCGTTAGCACCCCTATCTCCTTCCCACTTTCCCACAAACAACAAGTAGAAAAACAAACTGGAAAGAACCACAAACCTCTTCCTCTTCCTCACCCTCATCCCCCTGCCCCTTCCCCTTTCCCTCCCCTTCATACCCCCCTCATCATCCCCCTCATCCCACTCCTTCCCCTCTCTCTCCTTCTGATTCTCCTCATCCTCATCCCATCCCCATCCCGACCCCAACCACTCCTCCTACCCATCAACCCTTTTACCCCACCCATCCTATCCACCCTCTCCTTAGTACCCACAAGCACCTCCTCCGCGACCTTCTGCCCCACACCTCTCCACTTCGCAATCAACCGTCCCAATTCATCATCTCTCCCCGAGGACTCGATCCGGTGTGCTTGTTGGATGGTGTCTAGCTCGTTTCGGAGCGCTGTGAGTTGGGATTGTAGGGTTCGGTGGGTTGTTTGGAGGGTGTGGTATTCTGGGTCTGGTGCTGGTATTTGAGTTGGAGGTGGGGGTTTGGTGGTGGGAGTGGTTGTGGGGAGGGTGAGTTTTCGGGGTGTGGGGGTTGGCTTTTGGGTTGGTTGTGAGGAGGAGGTTTTGGGTGTCGATTGTGGCTGTGACTGTAGTGCTGGGTCGGTTGTTTGGGGGGTTGTTGTGGTTGTGGTTGTGGTGGTAGGAGGGGTGGATATAGTATCGTTTGGTCCGGTGGATGCTGGTGCTGGTCTGCGGAGAGGCGATTTAAAGGGTTTGGCGAGAGTTGCTGCGGCATCGTTGAGGCGACGACGTTTGGCATTCGGGGTTGGGGTCGGGTTTGTGGAAGCCATTGTTGGAGTTGCTTAGTCTTGGGCTGCGTCTAACATGGTCAATGGATGGATGAACGAGGTAAGGGGATAACAGGGAAGACCGAGATGGAGATGAAGATAAAGGCTTATCGATAAGTCGGTCAGCTGATAAGATAGAGATGGTTAGTGGTTACATCATGCAAATTGAGCTAACGAGTATATACTCCAACAAACAAATCTAGTCTTCAATGACCCACCCCTCCAGCTACCCATTGCGCAAACTCTGGCTCCCCCGGACGAGGAAACAATCCCCGATCATTCGCATTCCCTGCCGCTGCATTCATCCCGCCGTCGTTCTGGCGCTGGCGGTTTCGCTGCTGTCGCAGATACACTAGAGCGAGCAGAGTCGCTGCCAAGCCGACGATGATCAGCCCCTCCAGCACGCTTTCGTCAATGTCCAGCTCGAGCTCATCATAGTAGCCGTCCTCGTGGCGGTCATCCATACGGTTGCTCGACATGAGGTCGTCCTCATCTTCATCCCGCTTGTACAATTGAGCCCGGTAATTGGCCTCCTCTTCCTCGTCATTCTCGATAAAGGCAGCGATCCACTCTTTCAAGGTGCGGTGCGGCCTCACATCTGCGCTGCGTTAGTCTTTATCAGATCTCAGGCACTTCTGTCTTACCTTCTTCCTCCTGGATGGGATTGATATCCCCATTGGTAAGCCAGTTCCAGTACGCCCGCATCCGCAGCTTCAGCAGACTGAGCTTCACTGGCAAGTACGCTTCCGAGCTAGTCTCCAACGCCAGGTCATAGTATCGCTTTGCCATGTGAAAGTCCTGGTCCACGGCAACCCCGTTCTCATGCATCCACCCCAAATTCCAATATGCCTGGGCGCTGTAGTGGACTTCGGCCGCCGTGTGGTAGCACGTTGACGCCTTCTCCGCATCCTGCACAATGCCCATGCCAGTAAGGTAGTAATCACCCATCTTAAGCAAAGAGTCAATGTTCGCTTGTTTGGCTGACCGTGTCCAGTAGATAAGAGCCAAGGCAGCATTTCGCAGCAAAGCCGGTCTGGTCTTCTTGGTTGCAGGAACGATGGTGTCAAGTGCGAGTAAGGAGCGCTGCTCATCCAGCAAGAACGCAACATTAGACTGCGCGTGCTCGTAGCCTTGCTCAGCAGCCATCATGGCTGGAATAAGAGCCCGTTCCTTGTCTCCATTCTCATACGCCGTGTTTGCCTCGCCAAAGGATGAATGGATAGCTTCCGCCCGCTCAGCGACCATCTTGTAGTAAGATGCGGCCATTCCACAGTGCCGCTTCCGACCAACACCGTTGTTGGATAGCTCCGCCAGGTAATAGAAGGCCTCCATCCAACCCCAGCGCGCCGCCAGCTCGAAATAACGGGTGGCGGTCGGGACATCGCCTTGATCCAGGAACAGAGCACCCAACCTCGTTTCGGACGCGGGGAAGTCCTGCTCTGCCGCAGCTTTAAAGTAGGACGCGGCCCTGAATGCATCCTGCGTGACACCATAGCCGTGCAGGTACATCAGCCCGAGCTCGTGCTGGCAGAGCGCATCGCCATTTGCCAATCCACGTCGGAACCACATCAACGCCGTCGCAAAGTTTTGCTCCACTCCCTCGCCACGCAGGTACATCAACCCAATGTGACCAGCCACTTTCGCTGCCAGTTTCTCGATCCCAAGAGGGTGATTTGGGTTCACCGATCCGTCCTTATTCCAGTACTTCTTAGTGACCTGTCTGAAATAGTTCATGGACTTCCGGAAGTTCCTCGGCAGCCCACGGCCACCCTCGTAGTGCATCTTCCCTAGGCTGAAAGTGGCCTTCAATTCGCCCTTCCTGGACATCAAATCCAAATACTCCAAGACGTCTTCCAAGCTGGCCTCCGTCGTGGAATGCGATCCGTCGCGCACGGTATTTGTCGACACGCTCGCACCTTCACCATAGACACCACCCTCTTCGTCAGCCCAACGGTAGGACTCGCGAATCATGCTCTGGCCACCGGGCGGTCCAGATCGCAAGTACCCAATAGCCTTATCTGCCACCTTCTTATAGTAGTAGGTCGCTTGGTCGCAGTCTCTTGGGGCTCCGATTCCAGCATGATGGCGATACGCCAGGGTCATCTCCGACCTCGTATCACCCGCTTCGGCAGCGAAAGTATGGTACAACAAGGACTTCGCCTGATCGCGCTCGACCGCACCGCCAACACCAGTTGCATACATAAACCCAAGCATATACTGCGCGGTGCTATTTCCGGTCGAAGATGCTAAGGCCTGGTACCAATGGAACGCTTGCTTGAAGTCTCGGGGGTGGGTGTAGTTGCCGTAGAAGTTCATCTCCCCTAAGAGGAAAATCGCATCGGGGTTCTGGTCTTGCTGTGCCGCAATCTTGAGTTCATTCACGGCCTTTGCGACAATCGGGTCCTCCTTTCGCTTCCCTGTTCCATCCGACGGGGGTCCATTCATAAACAAGATTCGAAAAGCTTCCTGGGCGTAATGCAAGGTGTATCCCACCAGGCCGGACGGTTTCTCGGGAGCAACGACGGCGATCTTGGATTCTCGTAGGATTCGAAGAGCATTTTCGACGTGTTCTATAGGTTAATTCCCTGGCCATCAGCATGAAGCGCCGGGGAATCGTAGATAAGACATCTCACCATGTCCGGGTCGATTAGAGTCCTCGGGCCCGCTCGAAGACTCGGAATGTGCATAGGATCCAGGAACGACATCGGTAGTTGGTATTTGGGACTCGGGATGTACTTGGGATTCCACCGCAAGCGCCTGCAGAAGCACTAAAGATCGGGAATCGAAGGTCAGTTGCTATCGCGTGATGCGGGTAAGCTCCACAGCAGACTCACGAAGCGCCAAGGGCAAGAGACGCCCTAGCCACCGGTTCTTCATGTTGTGTGAGAGAGATGGGTAGGAGATGAAGTCATGGCGACCCTGTGCTCGAGCTTCGGGGAATGGAGAAGCGAGAGGAGACGAAGGCGGCGTGAGTGAGCGATGGAGGCCCGCTGGGCCTGGCTCGGCCCCGAAGCGGAAAGGGCCACCTGGCGTTGCGGACCTTTATTTCCCCGATTTCCTCCGTCATCTAGTCACATCTACATCTACATCTACCACGACAATCGGAGGATGTCACGCTCAACCTAACAATCAATCAATTATCATAGTGACGGCATGCCGCTAAACTGAGCCGCCCCTTCGATGGGCTCTACCCATGCCAACCGCCTATCCGTGTAGATCTCCGCCTCAGGTTTCCGTTCATTCAAGATGCCGCTGTCATCAAAGATTCCTGCACGGAGAATTGTAACCTCCTCGGGAGTTCCATCAGATTTGACCTTTCCTCCAAACAGCGGCGTGCCTATCATCTTCATCAGAAACATCTTCCCAGACACTCAGACTAGTAATACAGACCACAATCGGGACAGAAATAGTTCTTAATATCACTTCCACTATCTGCTGTCTTGGGTACTTCTTTCGGCTTCCCAGTGACATTCAACTCTGCACTCTTGACGACGTAACTATAGGTATAAGGTGACCCAGTAAGCTTGCGACAATCAAGACAGTGACACAGTGCCTGATACAACATAAGATTTAGATTAGGTTCACAACATTGACATCCGGTGGGTACTTGCCGACATCAGAGGCTGGCCAGTGTATTCGATTCGAATCTTGCCGCAGAAGCAACCGCCGACAGCCATTTTGAGGGAGTAGTATTTGCTCCAGAAATGATTCACCAGAAGGCTCCAAGACACGCAGACTTAGTTGGTTATCTAGTTATAGTTAATTAGTAACGTAATCCACAAGCGAGTGGGCCGCACAAGCGAGTGGGCCGGCGCGCGCGTTATTCTCGCGTTCTTCAACTTGAAGCTATTCAACCACCAACAACTCCACCAGACATGCCTCAATCGTCAAAATCTTTGGTGGAACAAGAAGGCCGTATCTGCCTAGCTGTTGAGGCTATTCAAAGTGGCAGAATTTTGCATATAAACGAAGCTGCGAGCGCTTACAATGTTCCGCGTTCAACTCTGCAACGACGTATTAAAGGAGTCAAATCACGTTCAGATATACGTGTCAAGTCTATGAAACTGACTCTTCTTGAAGAAGAGGCTTTAAAGGACTGGATACTCTCACTTGTTAAGCGTGGGCTTCATCCTCGGCCGTCATATGTTCGGAATATGGCATCTAATCTTCTTCAAAAACGTGCCTCGAATTCCGCAGTCTCTGTCAGCGAAAACTGGGTATATAACTTTGTTAAGCGTACACCGGCTTTAAAGAGTCAATTCTCTTGAAGATATCATATCCAACGTGCGAAATGTGAAGATTCCAAGCTCTTGAGTAAGTGGTTCGATCGGGTTGAAGCCGTAAGAAAGGAATAAGGTATTCTCAATGAAGACATCTGGAACTTTGATGAAACAGGCTTTGCTATAGGTATAGTGGCTACAGCACGTGTAATCACAAGATCTGACTGTATAAGCAAGCCGTTTCTTATACAGCCTGGCAACCGCGAATGGGTGACCTCAATTGAGTGTATCAATACCGCCGGTGTGGTATTGGCGCCGTACTTGATTCTTAAGGAAAAGGTTCATATAGAAGCATGGTATCAAGGCCTTATTTTATCTGATTAGCGTATTAATCTATCGCCAAATGGTTAGACTTTTAATAAGATTGGTTTACATTGGCTTCGTGAACACTTTATTCCTTCTACTAAGGATTAGCAGATTGGGCGATATAGCCTTCTAATTCTTGACAGATACGACTCTTATTTAACTCCAGAATTTGATAATGTATGTAGCTAAAACGGTGTTATTTCTATCTACATGCCTCCATATTCTTCATATCTTTATCAACTGCTTGACGTTGCTTGCTTTATATTATTAAAATAAGTATATAGAAGCTTAATAAAACAGCTGATTCGCCAGGGCATCCATTATATTAATAAGATTGATTTCTTGGATATATATCTAGATACATGTTCTCTTGTCTTTAAAGAATCAATTATATGCAATGCCTTTAAGGCTTCAGGATTGGTTCCATTCCAGCCAGACAAGGTTCTTGATAGACTGGTTATACAGCTCTATGAGCCTACTCTAACTAGCAGTATTTTTACTATATTAACAGTACTAAAAATATTCAAGAATATAAGATAATTGCGGAGGCATGAAACTACTATTAAAAGACTTCTTTGTGAACATATAATTAGCCCATCTTCACAGATGAAAGCAGTGTTATCCTATGTTATAAAAGGATGTGAAATCGCCTTCAACCGGACTGCTTTGCTTGAGCAGGAAGTTGACGAATTACAGGCTGGATTAGAGAGGCAAAACACTAAGAAGAAGAGGTCTTATCGCTAAATAGCTGGCCTTAACGGCCTCACTGTTGAAGAGGCTAAAATCGCGTTCAAACAGACTTGCGAGGCTGATCAAGTTAGTGGAAGTCAGCTTGTAGAATCAGCTACAGGCGAGGAACAGCCTCGCCGCCGGGCACCATCTCGCTGCAGCGAGTGTGGAACAATTGGGCATATAAGAACAAGATGTCCAACACGTCAAAACACCAGTTAAACACGTTATTTTGTTGATATAGTGGACTATATAAGCTTCATCTTTTCATGGAGGCATGTTTGGCCGGGCGCGCCGGCCCACTCGCTTGTGCGGCCCACTCGCTTGTGGATTACGTTACCCCGTATTAGATAACGTAATCGGTAAGCGAACCGGCAGTGTAAGCGAGCCGGCACCCGCGCCCACCCAAACAGCCTTCTATGAAAAGATGAAGCTTTTATACACCATATATTAATAAAATAACGTGTTTAATTGGTGTTTTAACGTGTAGGACATCTTGTTCTTGTATGCTCAATTGTATTACATGCTGCAGCGAGGTGGTGCCTGGCGGCGAGGAACAACCTCGCCGGCAGCTGATTCTTCAAGCTGACTTCCACCAACATCACCAGCTTCATAAATTCTTTTAAAGGTGTTTTTGGCCTTGTTAACAGTGAGGCTGTTTAAACCAGCCATTTAATGATGAGATCTCTTGTTTTTAGTGTTTTGCCTCTCTAATTCAGTCTGTAATTTATTAACTTTCTGCTCAAGCAAAGCAGCCTGTTACGGACCCCTGCTAGCTGAACAACTAGTAAGGCGGGTACGTCAGGCAGAAGGCCACATCCGGACGGAAGGGGGCTCTTATCGAGGAGGATCCCGACCCGAACCGTCAGGCAGCACGGATCACGTGACTATGGTATACAGACAAGCATGTGGTATATAACATACCATCATGGTCTATAACTACCAAGTGGATATACGACAGACCCGATGGTATATAGAATGATATACGGGGAACGGATATATAAGGACACTCCTTCACGTACTTAGTTAGTTCTGTTCTTCATGCTCAATTCATATTGTCTTTAAGTAACCTATGTTTTGGTAGAGCTTAGCAACAACACTCATCTGCACTTACTTACGGATAGCTGCACGGTACTATCTAGCCTTACTTTTCTTCTCTTGTTTAAATCAAGTCATCTTTAGATAGTTAACAGCCTGACTATCTTTGATTCAGTTCACAAGGTACGTATCGGAACGGGAGCTAAGCTAACAGGAACAGGAAGAAGCAATCCTAGGATTTAATACATTAAGCACCAGTCAGTATGAGTGTTACTCAGTAACAACCAGTCATCATATTGACTACATTGAACACATCACGAGCGCCTCAGCAGCAGGGCCTGACAACCAAGGAACTGATGGACATGGTTAGTCAGCTACAAGAAAGCATCACAGCCTTAAAACAAAAGAACCAGTTACTCGAAGATCGCTTATTAGTTAAATCTGTTAAGATCTGACTACCCGAGCCATTCAACGGCAAACGAGCGAAGCTCAGGACTTTCTTGACCTAGTTAGACTTATACCTTAATATAAATAAGAAAAAGCTCAAGAATAAAGAGAATAAGATCTTTTTTACATCTATTTACCTTACCGGAGCAGTATTTAATTAGTTTAAACTATATATTTACAAGTGATAAGAGAAGTTAGTAAATAATTAAGATAATAATATAAAATAACTTTTTACTAATTATACCAGATTTAAACAGCATTTCAAACAGATATTCAGAGATATTGATGCAGTATAGAATACTGAATAAAAGTTATAATAACTTAAGTAAACAGGATTAGTATCTGTATATACTTCAGAATTTCAGTAAGTTATTAGTTATTTAGACTGGAATGATAATACTTATATCTCATAATTTAAAGAAGGACTCAAGATAGAGATCTAAGAAAAGATCATTTGGCAGAAATGACCAGACATCTTAATCAAGATAATTAAAGTAATAGTAAAGATTAATAACAAGCTATATGACTTTAATATAAAATAATGAGAAGGTTAGTAGACTAGCGGGTCTACACCTCAATACAATAACCAGCCAGGTTACTGAGCTAATAACAGAAGGTCGGCACAACCTAGAAGCTTGGGATACGAAGATCCCTACGGGCTGAAGCCCATGGAGCTAGATGCAGCACAGCATCAGACTCAAGAGACTCAAGTGTCCAAGGAGGAACTCGAACAGCGTAAACAAGACTGCTTGTGCTTCAGCTACGGCAAAGCAGGTCACCAGTTAAAGGACTGTAATCAGAAACAGCCTTAGAAGCAATTGAGAACTATAAACCAAGATCAAGGCAGAGAAGTCTATAATATTATCACTATTTAGCACGAGATTTGGACAGATTCCGCAACGCAGATACTAAGTAATAAGAAGTTACATATTATTCAGCATGATCAGCTATCAGAAAACAGGATATACTATGATTAGTTAAAATAACAAGCCATCCCGGATGAGTTAACAGTACTATCTAGTTAATAAGAGAATTAATAATTATCTGTATTATTAGTTTGGACTATGAAAGTCAATAATAATAATTATAAACTAGTTTTAAGGAATGATTATCTCAGTATAGTTTAGAATGAGGATGAATTATTAGATAAAGAGTATAGTATATCACTTGAAGGTCTTGAACCCAGTAAGAAGAGACTCAACAAGATATTTAATATCCTTGAAAAATCCTTATCAGAAACTAGTGAACTCTGTTTATTGTAGTAAGATAAGGATAAGAAGAACTAGAAGAATGATTAAGAGGATATTGCTTATTAGTTAGACTGTATCTTGAAGAAGATTTTGGAAAATCCAGCATGATTCTGCCTAAAGCTTAAGATAATCATACAGTATTATCTATATTAGGATTTGAAATGTTGGGAATCATGGAATAAGATTTAAAAGCAATATTTATAAAGATATCCTTGTTATTCAGAAGTTTGTTTAATATATAAATAAGATAATACAGATTATTATTACTAATTATTAAAAATTAGCCAGAAGGTAAACGTTGCAGGAACAGAATCTTAATATAATAAATCATATCTATATATTTATTTCAAAGAAAGTAGAGATTATTGAAAACATAATAAACTTTCTTGACTTGTATATTATATAAATACATGCTTAATATACTATAATTAAAAGTATATTACTAACTACTGATCTAGGGTATCGGAAGTAGTTAGGACTAAGATAAGTTATTATTTATATAATATCTTTAAATGTGCGTGTAAAAGGTACTAGAGATATTCTTATCATAGATTAATATATTAGCTAGCATGTTTTAATAATTAGTATATAATATACTACGTGGTAAAGATAAAAGGCTTAAGATTTCTAAGAAGACACCTATAGTAGTTAGAACCTAACTAGCCAGAACAGTAATTAGCAGTTATAGAGTCAGGACCATA